GGCCCAAATCCTTCCTCCAGGAGGCGCACACTGACTAAATCCCATTCCCCCAATCACCCCGTGCTCCTGCAGCTCCCCCATCCTCTGTTTCTCCCCCATCCTCTGTTTCTCCCCCATTGGACTGCCCTTTGTTGTAAGCTCCCTGAGGACAGAGCCTCCATTTTCTGTTTCTTCATCTACTTTTCGTGCCTAATGAAAGGCCTACAGCTTCCAGAAGGCCCAACTCCCAGATAGCTTTCTAAGGAAAAGAATTGTCTGCTTCACAATGTTTATTGAGCACCGATTGTGTGCCAGCCACTGTTCTGGAATCTGAGCTTAGTTCAGTGAACATTGAGTGATGCTTCTTAATGCATCAGTTATAGGCACGGGGCTGACTGGCTGTCAGTCTGTCCATTTCACCCCCACCCCACCAGGCCCCACTGACCCCAGAGCAGCTCCAGGCAGTGGAGGGCATTGTGCAGGAGGCCGTAGGACAAGATGAGGCTGTGTACATGGAGGAGGTGGCCCTGGCATGCACTGCCCACGTCCCCGGCCTGCGTTCTCTGGATGAGGTGAGTTGGGGGAGCCCCCTTGGTGGAGACTGCCTGACCCGGGCAGGCCAGGTAACAGAGCTGTCCCCTCTCACCCTCAGATATACCCAGATCCTGTGCGGGTGGTGTCCGTGGGGGTGCCTGTGGCCCATGCATTGGACCCCGCCTCCCAGGCTGCCCTGCAGACCTCCGTGGAGCTATGCTGTGGGACGTGAGTCACTCCATTCTGCCTGCCCTGGCCTGGGGCCCTGGATCCTCACCCTTCCTTGGTCTTTGGAGCCACCAGCCTCTGGTTTTGAAATCAGGCTGCTCTTTTCTCTCCCAACATCCTCCTTGACGTCCTCCTCCCACCGTTTGCCCACAGGCACCTGCTACGCACAGGGGCTGTAGGGGACCTGGTCATCGTTGGGGAGCGCCAGCTCACCAAGGGCACCACCCGCCTGCTGGCCATCACTGGGGAGCAGGCCCAGCAGGTCAGCACGGCAGCTGGGCCGGGAGGCTGCTGGTCGTGGAGAGGGGGCAGGGGCCACACACAGCTGACACTCAGGCTGCAGAACCAGTGTCTGTACAAGTGCACTGATGTGGTCGTAGCAGCTGCTAGCACCTGGCATCTGTCATGATTAGTTGGTGCCTTGATTAGTCCTGATTGTTAAACGTTTCTAATTCAGCCCTGACCAGCAGTGGGTTGAGAGCTCCTGTCCTGGGGAGGCAAAAGTAAGCTGAGCGGCCCTGGCCATCCTCTTCCCTTCCTGCAGGCCCGAGAGGTGGGCCAGAGCCTGGCCCAGGAGGTAGAAGCAGCCGCGGAGCGGCTGAGTCGGGGCAGCCGGGATGTGGTGGAGGCACAGCGGCTATCCAAGGACATGGGACGACTCACTGATGTGAGGCCACCCCCCCCATGGAGCTTCTCCCCACCATCTCCTGGCCCTGTTCCCTTCCCCGTGCCTCCCCAACCCTTCCAGCACTCCTGGGGACTCCACCTGGCCCAATGTTTGTCGTTTGTCTGCAGGGTGGGATGTGGTGGATGTGGTCTCTGCCCCTGCTGGTCCCTGCCCCAGAGGCTGTGGCTCAGGGAGGGGGTTAAGGATGATGTCCTCTTCTGGCTGTAGGCTGTAGACACTGCCATGATGCCTCAGTGGCAGCGGCGGCAGCTTCAGGCCACTCTGAAGGTGCTGCAGCGGCGTGCCAACACTGCCATCCGAAAGCTGGAAGTGGGGCAGGTGAGAGGAGGGGCAGCCGCACCATGGGGCAGATACCAGGTGTGGCCAGCAAGGGTCAGAGACGCTCTAGCAGGCACACTGAGAAGCCTCAAGGCCTGCAGGGGGCAGGGCACAGCTCCTGCCTGCTGGGTGCCATCACCACCACCCCCGGCTTCTTTCTGCCAAACTGTCTCCCCCCAACTCCCAAGTCTGGCCCAGACTCTCCTCCAGGAGCCAACCGACTTGATTGCACCATTCAACCCTAATTGCTCCTCCACTGTGGATCCTCCTTCCTCCTGCCCCCTCTCATCCATCTGTGCTTCAGCCTTCGTCCTTTCACTCTCAGTGGCCTATTTGTAGGGGCCTGGAGCTACGATGAAAGGGAAGAGGTGAGGGAGGAGAGGAAGGACACTGGTGGGACCCAAAAAGAGGCCATTCTAGGCAGAACTCCTGGCCCCTCTGCTCAAAGCTGAAGACCTTTGCCGGGGGCAGGGGGAGGAGGGGAGCGGATTCTGGAGTGGGGCTCAGTTCAGAAGTGGGGGCCAGTCGCCCCCCAGCCTGATCCCTGTGCTGTCCTTCCTGCCCCACAGGCTGCACAGAAAACCCAGGAGCTGCTGCGGCGGCACTCAGAGGGGCCCCTGATTGTGGACACGGTTTCCACTGAGTCCCTCTCAGTGAGTGCTGGGGTTGGGGGTGACCCCAGGGATTGGGGAGGGGAGGTAGGTGGGAGTCCAGGGAGTCACCATCTGCCCTCCCTTGCCCAGGTGCTGGTGAAGGTGGTCCGGCAGCTGTGTGAGCAGGTGCCCAGCACATCCGTGCTTCTACTCAGCCCCCAGCCCCAGGGGCATGTGCTGTGTGCCTGTCAGGTGGCCCAGGTGAGGGAAGAGGGAGAGCAGCCTGTCACCCGGCCCATCTCTTAGTCCACTCTCCAATTCCACGCCTTTTATTCCTCCCAGATCAGGGAGCCAAGGCTGGGTAGAGGTGATTTATGAGGACACCCCAGGATGGGGATAGGGCCATCTCCTTGTCCCTAAACCACACCCCCCCCCCCAACCAGAGAAGGCACTGTGGGATTCCCTAATTACCACCCCCCCACACAAGGCCTCACATCCCTTGCAAGTAAGTAGCAGACATTCATCAGCCTCCACACGTTCCCAGCCCAACCTTCTGTCCCCTCACCCAATTTGCCCCACCATGTGCCCAGCTGGGGAGGGGAATGCTACTCACCGTGACTCCACTCTCTAGGGTGCATTGAGTGGCTAGGGGCAGGGAGGGCTGCCCTGCATCACTGCCCCTTCTGTTTCTGTCCCCAGAGTGTCTCGCCAGCCTTCACAGCAGAGGCCTGGGCGCTGGCCGTGTGCAGCCACATGGGGGGCAAGGCCTGGGGCTCTCGAGTGGTGGCCCAGGGCACCGGAAGCACTGCAGACCTGGAAGCTGCCCTCAGTACAGCCCGAGCCTATGCCCTCAACCAGCTCTGAGCCAGGCTCCCCCAGGGACTCACACAGACCAAAGAGACAGCACACAGCCCAGTACCAGGAGCCTGAAGGAGCCAGCAGAACCTCCCTAGAGGCTGAAGCAGAGGACTAGAGGCTTGAGGTCAAGCAGCTGAGCTGAAGAGGGCCACCCTGGGCTGGGCCCTGCGTGGACACAAGGAGATGTGGACTGGGAAAGGCAGAAGTGGGCCAGGAGACACCCCCCCACTAGGTGAATGTGAAGACATGCCTCTGATTGCTCATTAAAAAGTATTTCAGGGGGCTGGCCCCGTGGCCGAGTGGTTAAGTTCGCACGCTCTGCTGTAGGTGGTCCATTGTTTCGTTGGTTCGAATCCTGGGCGCGGACATGGCACTGCTCATCAGCCCACGCTGAGGCAGCATCCCACATACCACAACTAGAAGGACCCACAACGAAGAATATACAACTATGTACCGGGGGGCTTTGGGGAGAAAAAGGAAAAAAAAATCTTTAAAAAAAAAAGTATTTCAGGGGCTGGCCCAGTGGCGCAGCCATTAAGTTCACATGTTCTGCTTCTGCGGCCCAGGGTTTGCCGTTTCAGATCCCAGATGCGGACCTATGCACTGCGTGGCAAGCCATGCTGTGGCAGGCGTCCCACATATAAAGTAGAGAAAGATGGGCACGACAGATGTTAGCTCAGGGTGAGTCTTCCTCAGCAAAAAAAAAAGGAGGATTGGTGGCAGATGTTAGCTGAGGGCTAATCTTCCTCGAAAAAAAAAAAAAATTAGAGCACAGCTGCCCTCCTGGCGTCATTTCCTGCATGACTTCTCATTCTAACTGAGGCACCAGTGATCTGTGGGTAAGCCACTGAGGAGGGCTTGAAAGGGACCCAGCCGCTGTGCTTGCTCAGCCCATGGAGCTGCAGAGCTTTACCTTGGGATCCTAGGAACTGCAGCCGTAGCTGAGTTCACTGGTGCTCATGGCACATCCGGCTCTTTACACGTGTACACCGCGAGGTGAGGAGTTGTGGGACCCCCGTCTTATTGATGAGTTCACCAAGCTTCTGAAGTGTTAACCTGCCCAGGGTACCCCACCAGTAATGGTCGGCAGAGCTGGAATTAAGCTGAGCGCTGCCTCCGAAAATTCCCACCTCCCTGATTGCCTCTCCCCTTCTGAAGGACAATTTCTTTTTCTTACTAGCCAAGAGGCGGGCTTGGCATCAGGCTTAAGGCTGTGTGGAGGAGCACTGTGGAGGCCTGGAACCTTCCTGCCTGGTGCCAGTCATCAGGCTTGTCTACATCCGGAGAAAGGCGCAAGGTGCCACTCTGCAGGGATGCCCCGCCCCCCGCTCTCCTGCAGGGCCTGGGGTCGCCCGGAGGCCTCAGGGGAGTTCCGGTAACTCCTGCAGGTGCCCTTCCACCCTCGTCTTCCAGAGACTGACTGCTGATGCTTTTCCCGGATGTCTTTCCACTGGCCACCTCCCATCCCCCTTTCCACACAAAAGGCACCAAGAGGGAACAACACTCCAGCCCAGGAGCTGCCCCGGGTCCCCGACTCCTCACTTTCCCCGACAAAAGCCCACCCATTCCTAACATGTCTCCCAAGAGCACAAAGCTGCCCCAGGACCAGAGTTTCCACCACCCGCACGGCGGCCTGCACACCGCGTTCGACGACCCTTCCTTGCATCGAGCCCGTGCCAAAGCTCGTAGCCACAACGACTAGAGACAGATCCACATGCTTGCAGGGCACGCGGCGAAGACGCGGGGCCCGCGCAGGCATCCCTGCGCCCATGCGCACGTGCACGCGGCCTCGGCCCCGCCCCCTGGCGACGCGGGGCGTCCCTAACGACCGGCCGGCCGCGCGGGACCTGCGGGAAGGCGAGCGCCCCTGCACTGGGAGAGGGTGAGGCGACTCGGCGAGAGAGGACACTCAACCCCGGGCTCCCCAGGCCTGGACTCGCCCTGCCTCCACTGCCGCCCGCGGGGCGTGGAAGCCCCTCCAGCGCCCTCGGCCCACCGGCCAGAAGCCCGTAGGGGGCCACGTCCTGGGCGCCCACGTTTCTTGCGGCGGGGAAGGGCCGGTCTGTACCTCCAGGAGGCCCCCCACCCACCCATCTGAAGAGGGACCCGTGCCTCCTCCCCTGCCACCGTCGCTGTCTGCGAACTGGCCCAGAGGCTTAGGGGCTGCGAATAAAGGGAGGGGGACGGTAAGAGGTAGGAAGGGGAAGGTCGTGGAGGAGAGCAGTCCTAGGTCCAGGGTCCCAGTCTGCACAGACAGGCTGACCCCCATCCCCAGCTCCTCCGGCTGCAATTCCTCCTGCGGGTCCGGAAGCTCCGCACCTCCCTCCTTCCCTCCCACGGCGTGCTGGTTTCCCTTGGTAACCAAGGAGCAGGAGGGCCTCCTCACCCCAGGCAGCTTGGCGGACGCACTCACTGGCCTTTGGAGCTGAGCTTCCCTGCTGGAGTGTCTGAGCCAAGGTAGGGATGAGGGGCGGGGAGCGAAGTCGCTGGAGCCCTTTTAAAGACAACAGACCTAAGTGGGCAGGGGTTGGGAGGAGGCGTGTGAAAAGTGTGCTGACTGTCCCACCCGGCCAAACACCAAGCAGGCTGGGCTGGGCTCTGTCAGAGGAACTTTTTGCCCCTCTTTTGTGATTCCACAAACTGGGAATTCCCAAATGGTGATTTGAGAGTGACTTGGCCTGAGGTAGTAGGGTCTGACCTGGTGGGCATGACAGAGATCAGAGGAAATGCAGACAAAAGTGCAGGGCCCTGAGGACAGACACCTGGGGAGGGCTCTCCATAGGGCATCCTGGGGTGAGGGAGAAGCTGGCTGAGCCGGCAAACGAAGTTCAGTCAGAGAAGTGGGTGGAGAGTGGGGTGCGGGTAGCCCATCAAAGCTGAGCCAGCCCAGAGGTGCACAGCGGTGCTCGCCACCTAAAGAGGGCTGGCACTTCTGCTTCTCAGCTAAGAGGAAGGGAGGTGAGGACAACTGAGGGCCAGGGGTGTGATGAGCAGGAGAGAGGGCTCCTCCCCAGCATCTTCAACATTCACATTTGTGCAGGTGAGAGGAGCTTCTGCCCAAAGTGGTGTCGACGAAAATAATCCATAACCAATCTATAAATGAAAATCTGGGTGAGTTTATTCTGAGCTAAAATCTGAGGACCATGGCCCAGGGCCTTTCTTCCCAAAGGAAGAAAGGGCACCAAGGAAGTGAGGTGCACAGAGTGGTTACATACCCCCATACAGGACGTTTCACATATTATTGAAATGTCCCTCCCCCAATAGTCACAAGACTGCCCTGTCAGCACAGCACTTGACGGACACAGCAGGTAGTGGGTCTGCTATCTCAGAGGGAGGGTGTAGCAGGAGGCAAGTCTATTGTCTTGAGCTGGGGTCACAGGTGAGCGCAGCAATCAGTTTCTAGCCTAAGGAAAGATGCTTATCCTTAAAGAAATGCCAACGTTGGAAGGGAGAGGGAAGTTGCACCTTTATCTCAAGGGCCTTTGCTCTTGCCATAGGGAATCTCTAAAGCAGATATACAATGCATGCTCAACGGCCTCGGTCAGGCCCTTTTGGAAAGACAAGGTCAGGCTGAATTAGGTTTACACAAAATGGCTTCCTCATATACTCCAATATATCCTATTACTTGCCATTTTTATTTGTCAGTGGTTAGATTTAACTGGGGACTGTAGATGGATGGAGGAGATCTGACCCCTCCTCCAAGAGGCGGGATGTGCTAGAGAGTCAAGCACTGAGTCTTAGGAACTCGGAGGCCCCGCCTGAGCCATGGGGCAGGAGAGCACAGCTCTTCAGTATTCTCTTGGGTCTCAGGGGCCTCAAGCCGAGGGATACAGGCAATGATCCAGTTCTGTGGAAGGAGGCCATGCCTGGCAGTGGTTTGGGGGTGAGGGACTCTGAAGGCTGAAGGCTGGTGACCTGACAAGAGAGTTCAGGAGCTGGAGGAAGTGGGAAGCCCCCTGGAAAAGAGCTGTCAACAACAGAGTCAGGGGCGACTTAGGAAGCAACCTGAGCATCTCAGTATCTGTCCAGGCTTTCGTGATGGAAGTAAGGGAGAGCTTTGGACAGACATCAGCTCAAACCTCAGCTTTGCCGCTCACCAGCTGTGTGGCGCCCAGCAAGTTACTTAAGCTTTCTAAGCCTCAGTCTCCTCATCCGCGAAAGGGGGATAATAGTGTTATAATAACAATAGGAGTCCTCAGTAATAAATCTGAAGACTTAATAAACTTATGTAGGTAAGGCATCTAACATCTTCACAAAATTTGAGTGCTGGCTCCGGGCCCAGCACTGTATGAAATGTCTCACACACATCAGTTCCTTTAATCCTCTGGAGAATCTTACAAAGTAGGTACCATTAATTACTGTCCCTATTTTACAGATAAAGAAACGGAGCCTTAGTGAGGTTAAATGACTGGCCCAGGGTCTCACAGATGCTGGGGGGCCCAGTGGAGTTTGACCTTAGGCAATATAACTCCGGAATCCTTAGCCAGCTGCTATGCTGCCTCCTGCTGTGCACATGCTATTGGGGGCCTAGAACTCAATAAATCGTAGCTATATATGGCAAGGATATGGTTCCCAGAACACCTGTCCACCAGACACAAGCCACCAAAAATGAGGACAACCTGAGCCAGCCCTGATGGCCTAGTGGTTACAGTTCGGAGCTCTCACCACTTCAGCGGCCCGGGTTTGTTTTCCCCTCGTGGAATCACACCACCAGTCTGTCCGTTGCCATGCCGTGGTGGCAGCTCACATAGAAGAACCAGAAGGACTCACAACCAGAATATACAACCACGCACTGGGGCTAATGGGAGGGGAAAAAAAAAAGAGAGGAAGATTGGCAACAGATGTTAGCTCAGAGCCAATCTTTCCTTGCAGAAGAAAAAATGAAGAAAATCAGGCCAGATTGGGGCATCCCATCACTTTATTGTATCTGTGCTTAGGCATGTAGAGAGTAGACCTTAACACCTACCCTCTGAGTTACAGCCTGAATGTGACTTCAGGACCCTGGGCCTGAGGACCAGAGTAGGGAAGTGTGGGGAGGAGGATTGGCCTTTCCCCAGGGATTGTGGTCCTGGGTTGGGTTAGGTGGATGCTGGAGACAGAGCATGGGAAGCCCAACAGGCCCATGAGACTGGCACCAGTAGAGGAGAGGTCACAGGGCATGTCCCCATTTTCCTCATCCAAGGGCAGGGTGTGCCCTCCAATAGGGACACCAGGTGGTGGCACAAGAGGCACTCACTCCTGGTGGCCCTGACCTTCTCTCTGGAATGTCACAGACGATTCCTGCCCCAGAGGACCAGAGTCTTGAACATGCTTTTAGTCTTCAAACTCTAGGATTCTCTCACTGCCCCTTAGGTTCCCCAGGGAGAAAAGGTTCCAGAAAGGAAGGAGACCGCTCTGCCACTTCTGGGGCTGCCCTCTGTGGGCCCTTGGGGGCTGTCTGGGAGCCCCTGGGCCCTGGCTAATGAGTGTCTACCCTCCCCCCAGGCTTCCAGGGAAGATAGTGCCACCTACCACCATCCTCAGCTGCGGACTGGTGATGCCCAGGCCAGACTGAAGCCACCCTGTGAAGTAGGTGGAGTTATCTCGGGTCTCCTCCCCCTCATCCTCCTGCGGGCCCTCCCCACCTTCTCCCATGCAGTGGTACACTCTCCTTGCCCCCTTCCTAACTTTGCTTTTTGGATCTGAAACTCATTCACAATGAAGTGTGGATAACTGATAAGAGGGGATATGTATATATACACACATATATATATATAAATTTTTAAATGCTATTTTCTTTCTTTCTTTTCTTTCTTTCTTTTTTTTTTTTTTGGTGAGGAAGATTGGCCCTGAGCTAACATCCATTGCCTATCTTCCTCTTTTTGCTTGAGGAAGATTACCACTGAGCTAATATCTGTGTCAATCTTCCTCTATTTTGTATGTGGGACACTGCCACAGCATAGCTTGATGAGCAGTGTGTAGGTCCATGCCCAGGATCCAAACCCACAAACCCCGGGCCGCCAAAGCAAAGTGTGCAAACTTAACCACTATACCACTGGGCTGGCCTCATATATAATTTCTGTATACTTAAATTGTCAGAGAATAATATATCACATGACTTCTACATTTTTTTTAAAAGTTTGCTACATTAGTGTCAGCATATATTTCATAATTTATTCTGCTTTGTTTGACCTAAAATGAGATGCATTTTTAAAAAGCAGTTCAAAGTTAATGTATGGATATACACACACAGGCATGTATGTAATATTAAGATTTCATTTCTTTTAAATAAAACCACACATCTATGGACAGCTCATCTTTGACAAAGGAGCTGAGGGCATACAATGGAGAAAAGAAAGTCTTTTCAACAAATGGTGCTGGGAAAACTGGAAAGCCACATGTAAAAGAATGAAAATTGACCATTCTTTTTCACCATTCACCAAAATAAACTCAAAATGGATTAAAGACCTAAAGGTGAGACCTGGAACCATAAGGCTTCTGGAAGAAAACGTAGGCAGTACACTCTTTGACATCAGTATTGAAAGGATCTTTTCGGACACCATGCCTTCTCAGAGAAGGGAAACAATAGAAAGAATAAACAAATGGGACTTCATCAGATTAAAGAGCTTCTTCAAGGCAAATGAAAACAGGATTGAAACAAAAAAACAACCCACTAACTGGGAAAAAATATTTGCAAGTCATATATCTGACAAAGGCTTAATATCCTTAATATATAAAGAACTCTTGCAACTCAACCACAAAACATCAAACAACCCAATCAAAAAATGGGCTGGAGACATGAACAGACATTTCTCCAAAGAAGATATACTGATGGCCAATAGGCACATGAAAAGATGCTCATCATCGCTGATCATCAAGGAAATGCAAATCAAAACTACACTAAGATATCACCTTACACCCGTTAGAATGACAAAAATATCTAAAACTAATAGCAACAAATGTTGGAGAGGTTGCGGAGAAAAAGGAACCCTCATACACTGCTGGTGAGAATGCAAACTGGTGCAGCCACTATGGAAAACAGTATGGAGATTCCTCAAAAAACTAAAAATAGAACTACCATACGATCCAGCCATCCCACTACTGGGTATTTATCCAAAGAGCCTGAAGTCAGCAATCCCAAAAGTCCTATGCACCCCAATGTTTATTGCAGCACTGTTTACAATAGCCAAGACGTGGAAGCAACCTAAGTGCCCATCAACAGACGAATGGATAAAGAAGATGTGGTACATATATACAATGGAATACTACTCAGCTGCAAAACAGAACAAAATCATTCCATTTGCAATAACATGGATGGACCTTGAGAGAATTATGTTAAGTGAAATAAGCCAGCGAGAGAAAGATAATCTGTGTATGACTCCACTCATATGAGGAATTTAAAACTATGGACCAAGAACAGTTTAGTGGATACCAGGGGAAAGGTGGGGTGGGGGGTGGGCACAAAGGGTGAAGTGGTGCACCTACAACATGACTGACAAACATTAATGTACAATTGAAATTTCACAAGATTGTAACCTATCAATAACTCAATAAAAAAAAAAGATTTCATTTCTTTTAGGGGGAAAATGCATTTTAATGTAACAGGGATGAAAGCCTTATGTTGGGACCCCTGCTTCCCTGGGAGCAGGAACATCCTTTCTTCTTTCCTAGTGGAGGGTGAGAAAGTGTGGGAAGGGGACACACCGAGCAACTGCGGAAGAGCAGTGCACTGTGCTTAGAGGCAGGAGCCCGCCCTCAGGCCCTGGCCCGGCCCTCCTGAATGTCCTGGATGCCAGTCATTTCCTGAGCTGGTCTTCAGTTTCTTCATCCGCGCCTCTATTGCAGAGCGGTTGTAAGACTCAAACACGAGAAGAGTTCTGAGAGGAGCCTGTAACATAGGTGCTGAGCACATGTAAGTTGCTGATACTGTCCTATGGCTGGAGAGATGGGAGGCGAGACTGGAGGCTCAGGGTGGTCAGGAGAGGAAGAGGCCACAGGAGTTAGATGTCAGACCCTGTGTATAATAACCTGGGTGTCTTTGGCTCTTCTCGGCCATCCCACTGAACTATTTCATCTACTGATTGAAGATCTTTCCCATAATTTCATTCCCCAAATTGTGAGCCTATCCAAATGGACAGGACCCTTTGGTCACAAAGGGGCAGAAACCCAAGTCTTAGCTTCAGCAAAAGGGACTTGTTAGAAGGCTGCCAGGTTAGGCCTCAGAACCAAAGGCACCGCTGAGGAAGCAGGCAGTTCTGGGGGCCTCGGGGACTGAAGGTAGCTGGTGCTGTCTCTGCCTCCACCAGGCTTCCCTCCCTCCCACTGCAGACAGGCCTTTTCCATGTGAAGGGAAACCACTTCCCATGGCAGGGGATCTGTATCCTTCAAGGACATATGTCCTGTCTTCCTCCGCTTGGACAAGTCCCAAGAAGGATTCTCTTTGGCTCAGGACTCAGGTGGCCACCCCTGGACCAGTAGCTCTGACCAATACAGGATACTCCTGTTGGCCAGAATCTATTATCCCAGAAGGGGCTGGGGCAGCTCAAAACACCCCTGAAGCAGGCCTGACGCTGGGTGAGGGATTAGAGATAAAGATGAGATGGAAACAGTCTCTGCCCCTCGAGAGCTCACAGTCTAGTGTGGGTGTGGGGAGAGGGTGGCCAATCGGATCATTGAAGTGAGCCACGTACTGGGGGCTGACCAAGGGAGGGGTTGTTTGGGGGACGGGGGATGAGAGAGGCTGAAAGACTTCAGAGAGGAAGTGGTACTTGAGCTCAGAACAATGACAGTCCCTTTCCCAGGCTGAGCCAGTGGGAAAGGCATTCCAGGCCAAGGGCACAGCCTGAGCAAAGGCTGGGCAGCATGCACCAGCCCGCAGTGTTCCAGAGACGAAGAGGAGTTTCTTTCAAACACAGCGTCCTGACACAGAGGACCTTCTATACTGAGTGAGGAAGCTGGGCTGTACCCAGTGGGCAGTGGTGAGCCATGGCCACTGTGGGAAGGCTAGATGTGAGAGGACCACACTGGATGACAGCCCCAGGTGCTGGGCGGCTGAAGCTCTGATCCAGGCGGACAGTGAGGCCCTGAGCTGAGGCAGCAGCATGAGGGGAGAGGAGGGCTGTTGGGATGGGAGGCAGAACTGAGTAGCCAGATGGGGGTGCCTATAGGAGAGTGGTGATGCCCCAGCTTCTGGTTCAGGCCCCTGGATGCATCCTGGTGTCCCCGGCCAAGGTAGGGAGCCAGGAGGAGGAGCCACCTGGGGGAGGCACTGAGTTCTCTTGGGGGGCAGATTGAGTTTGTGGGAGCTGGGAGGCCTGCCAGTGGACCTGAGTCTGGGCCTCAGAGGGGAGGTGAGAGCTGCAACCCATCAACAGGAGTGAGGCAGTGCTTCCTCACAGAACCCTGAGGGACTGCAACCCGGGAGGGGTGGCCAGAGCTGGAGGAGCCTGCAATGGAGACTGTTTTTTGAGGAAGATTAGCCCTGAGCTAACTGCCGCCAATCCTCCTCTTTTTGCTGAGGAAGACTGACACTGAGCTAACATCCGTGCCCATCTTCCTCTACTTTATCTGTGAGATGCCTACCACAGCATGGCGTGCTAAGTGGTTGCCATGTCCGCACCTGGGATCCGAACCGGCGAACCGAGGGAGACTTTTTGAGAACGATCAGAGAGGCAAGAGGAGAACCAAGAGAGTGGCAGCTGTGAAGCAGTTGAGAAGGGCAGGTGGCAGGCCCCCAATAGGGTCGCACTTTCTATCATCTTTATAACATTAGTAACAGGGAGGCAAGGAGTTCGTCTTGCTCATTATTTTAAATATACTTTGATATTTTATTAATTTTTTAAAAAACATTTGGAACTAAAATCCTCCTTAAAAGAATCCTCTGTGTCTAGTAATAATTTGCTTCCTAAAAATATTTTTGTAATATCTATTTTTAAAAAGTCAAGAAGTAATTAAGTGAAAACTATCAACTCCGACATTATGGGGCTAAGGGTTTAACATTTCCCTTACACGTGACATCAGGCCTGGTGGTATGGAGGTTTCTGTAAATGTGGCTAGCCGGAAGAGGCTCTTTTTTATAGCAGTCATGCACAGGGAGCACATGGAGCCACACTCGGCCCCTGCCTTGTGAGGAGGTGGCTCGGGGCCCTGAAACCCACCCTGGCTGCCGGCTCCAAACAGCAGAGGCAGCCAGGACCAGACCTCAGGAAGAGAGGCCAGGACCTAAGACAATGAAGCACTGGGCTGTGAGACCAGGGGCAGCCAGTTCCAGAGAGCACCCAGCCTGGCCCCAGGGGAGGTTTCCCAACATTCGGCCTCCCAGGAGGAAAGAGGGGACCGCCTGCCAGGATGGGGAGGCTGGGCGGTGTTGTGAGAAATGCCTGGAGAGCCAGCTGCAGGGTGACACCAGCCAGGAATCTGTGGCCCTCAGCCAAGCTGGGTCCTGCTCCCATGGGTTGGCCTGCAGAGGGTCTTGGGATGCATCTGGGACCAAGGAGAATGCCCGAATGTTTTAGGTCAGAACTAGGAGGGAGCCCCAGGAGCACAGATGTGGAGCTGGCAGGAGCAGGGGTGGCCTGTTGTCTCTTTCCTCTTTCTCTTTCCCAAACTGCCAGGCTCCTCTGTCCTTCTATCCAGCCCCGAACACCACCACTGCCACCGTGCCCTTCGCATGTCCCCTCGACATAGGTAAGGGCCTCACTCACAGATACCATCTCAGGTCAGCATGCAAGGAACAGGTCTCCAGGGTGTCTTCTGCCCAGCCTAAGACCCCCGTCCTTCATCCTCCACACACCCATCCAGTATTCTCAGATATTATCTCCACAACAGCCTGCATAGGAAGATATTATTATTCTGTTTTACAGATAAGAAAACTGAAGCTCAGATAAGTTAAGTAACTTGGCCAAGGTCGCACAGCAAGTCACAAGCAAAGCCAGAAATGCAAAGTCATCTGGCGCCTCTAAGGAGCACCCACTGCCAGCCACACCCTCTGAGGGGCCATTAGTTAAAAAGTACCAGCTGGTTATCCCACCATTCTGGACACAATCTGTTTGTGAATTTGCATTTGATTTGCATAAGGGTGTCACGGACACACAGCTATCTTTCGTACACTGCCCTCTCACGCTCCCTCACACACACACACACACACACACACACAGCACCAGTCTCTCCCTCCTTGAGATGCCTGGCTGGCTGGGGAGCGCCATCTGGTCCCCTCCATCTGTCAAGGACACCTTTGCAGGTTCAGAGTGTTCCTTCCCACCGGCCACTACACCGTGCGCCGAGTCAGGGAGCAAATGTCAGGGGGAAGTGCTGGAGGAGGGGCTGCGGGCATTTCCGCCTGCAGACTCAGGGCAGGGGCTCCCCCAGCAAGGGTGCAGAGATGGACAAATGGGGCATCCCCAGTCCCAGATACATCCTCTGTCTTCTGTCTTCAGCCCCAGATTTAGCTGCCTTTTCGCCTCCCACGCCTTCCCACTGCCGTCTGGAATGCAGGGACGCTGGGAGAACTGGGAAGACAGGGATGGGGAGACTGAAGGAGCCGGAGCCCTCAGAGGGGAAGAGGAGAAGGAGGGGGGCACCCTGGACAGGGCCTGGGTCCAGTTCCCCCTCCTTCCTCTCTCAGCCTGCACTGTCCAAAACAGTAGCCACATGTGGCTATTGAGCCATCAGACCTTTTTCATACTAAGACCAGGCTTAGTATGAAAAAATATACATATAATATCTCATTAATAATTTGTATGTTAATTACATATTTAAGTGATAATATTTTGGACATATTGGATTAAATATAAAATTAATTTCACCTGTTTCTCTTTGCTTTTTTAATGTGGGTCCTAGAAAAACTTAAATACAGTCAGTCCCTGACTTCACCATGGTTCGCCTTAGGATTTTTCACCTTTACGATGGTGCGAAAGCCATTCGCATTCAGTGGAAACCGTTCTTCAATTTTGAATTCTGATCGGTTCCCAGGTTAGCGATATGTGATACGGTCCTCCCTCATGATGCTGGGTGGCGGCAGCAGCCGCAACTCCCGGTCAGCCCCACAACAGGTGAACAACCGACACACTCACAACCATTCTGTTGTTCACATTCAGTACAGTATTCAATCAGTTACATGAGATATTCAACACTTTACTATAAAATAGGCTCTATGTTAGGTGGTTTTGCCCAACTGTAGGCTAATGTCAGTGCTCTGAGCGTGTTGGAGACAGGCCGGGCTAAGCCACGATGTTCAGGACCTTAGGTGTATTAAGTGCATTTTTGACTTATGATATTTTCAACTTACTATGGGTTTATTGGGATGTAACCCCATCATAAGTCTAGAAAGATCTGTAGTATACGTGGTTTGCATCTTGGCCTGCATTATATTTCTATTGGCCAGTGCTGTTCTCAACTCCATCCTCCTGGTCAAGCCGTTACTGCTCTGTACAACACTTAGTGCAGAGGCCGGCCCTGTGGCCGAGTGGTTAAGTTCGCATGCTCCACTTCAGTGGCCCAAGGTTTCACCAGTTCAGATCTTGGGTATGGACCTAGCACCGCTCATCAAGCCGTGCTGAGGCAATGTCCCACAAAGCAGAGCCAGAGGACCTACAACTAGAATACATAACTTTGTACTGGGGGGCTTTGGGGAGAAGAAGAAAAAAGAAAAGAAAAGATTGGCAACAGATGTTAGCTCAGGTGCCAATCTTTAAAAAAAAAAAAAAAAAGATGCATTTAAAAAAATACTTAGTGCAGGGAGCTGTTTTGAACTAAATGGTTCTTTTTATACCGCAATCTTTTGGCAATACACACGCCCTCCCCTGACCCTCAGAGTGGCAGTACAATGCAGGGTTAAGAGGGGTGGGCCCTGGGGCCTAGTGGTTAAGTTCAGCATGCTCCACTTTGGTGGCCTGGGTTCAGTTCCCCAGTGCGGACCTACACCACTTGTTGGCAGCCATGCAGTGGTGGGGACCCACATACAAAATAAAGGAAGACTGGCACAGATATTAGCTCAGGGCAAATCTTCCTCAAGCAAAAAGAGGAGGATTGGCAACAGAAGTTAGCCCAGGGAGGGAGGAGGGTGAAAGGGGTGATTAGGCACATGTGTGTGGTGAGGGATAGTAATTAATGTTTGGGTGGTGAACATGATGTAATCTATACAGAAATCGAAATATATAACAATGTACACCTGAAATTTATATAATGTCATCAACCAATGTTACCACAATAAAAAAAAGAAGTTAGCTCAAGCTGCATCTTCCTCAGCAAAAAAAAAAGAGTATGAACTTGATAGACTGAGTTTACACCCATTCTTGTTATTTATAAGCTGTGTCACATGGAGCAAATAATTAACCTCTATGTGCTTTGTTTCACATCAGAAAAATGGGAATAATACAAGTGCCTCTTTCAAAAAGGCTTTTGTGAGGATGAAATGAATTAATATGCATAAAGAACTAAAAGAAAAATATGTCCAGCATACAGCAATTGCCCGTAATTGCTGGGCAATTTGGGGCTGCTCCTTGCTACAGTTCCATGTGCCACAGGATACCATGCCTCTTTGGATGCCCTATCGTATTCACTCCTCCCAAGCATCTTCTATGGCAACTGTTATCCTCCTTTTGCAAGGGAGGCATCCGAAACTCAAAGAGGCTCAGGGACTTGCCCGAGGCCACACAACTAGTCAGTGGGATTTGTACTTGCATCGATTCTACTCCAGAGACTGACCCTTAAGAACCACTTTGTGCTACCTCTCCTGGTAAATGCCCACCGAGACCCTCCAAAGTAACCTCTACCCCATCCTCTCGCTTCAGGTTCCCACTAGCATCAAGGACCTGCCAGTCTGAGAAACTGTCTGTCACAAGGCCATCACCAAGTGGCCACCTGCCCCTATTTTGCCAGTCCCCAGCATGCAGGAAACCGTAACACCACCATCATTGTCGGTCCCCAGCCGCTCCTCCACCTCCACCCAGGACCGGTCCTCCACTGCAGGCCAAGCTTCGAGCACAGCCCAGCAGCCCTCAAAGCCCACAGTCAATCCAACCCCCGTGAAGTCCAAGGGCCCGAATTCTGGGGCCAATGTACGTCGGATGCGCAGGATCATCGCTGAGGATGCGGAGTGGTCCCTGGCCATTGTGCCCCTCCTCAGAGAGCTCTGCATTCAGCACATCGTCAAGAACTTCCAGAGTGAGTCTGTCCCTGCATTGGGCAGGAGGGAGAAGGCCAGGAGGAGGGGAAGGTGGGTGGGGACTACCTGGAGATGGGGCCTCAGAGCTGGGTCCTGTGGCAGCCCCTGCCCTCCTACACAGTGTCCTCATCTCCACTCAACACTTCCTTCCCCCCGGGACCAGGACAGTTTCTCCTGCTGTCCCCACTTCCAGGCCCCACCAGACTCCCACCCACACTGTGTCCTCCATGCCTATGCCTTCTCCTCACCTTTCCCACTCTCTCCAGCCCAAACCATATCTACCTCCTCCTCCAGAAAGCCCTCCCTGGTTGATTGCTGTCCACTCTCTTGGAGTCTTCCATGGTGTGTATAGGTTCTTGGTTTGTTTTATACTCTATGCTCTGTAAATATTCATCCTTTTCAAAGACAAGTTGCCAACCTCTCCTACCAGCTGGGGAGCTTTCTGAAGGGGGCCATCAATTTGTCTACAGCACCTATCACCATCTACCTACAATATATTCGTATGTATATAGACACCTACAATAAGCCTCCCCTCATAAGAGGGAGAGGCTTCCTCCATTTGGTTCACTCCTGTATCCTCAGCACTTAGAACAGTGTCTGGCACATAGTAGGTGCTCAAAATCTTTTTTGTTTTGAAATGAATGAATCAAATCAGATTGGGAGCCTCCGAAGTCAGGGGTTGTTCCCTCCATCAGACTAAATGATAACTGAGGCCTGGGCCTGAGATTCTTCCTCGGACTGGGAGCTCTTGAGACCAGATGCTAAGATGTCCACCTTCAGGCGGGAGCAGCCCAAAGCCAAGGGCTGTGTCTCCCTGCTCAGATGCTCCCTGAGAGGAAAGGCTGGGGCTCCCAGAGGCAGGGGAGGGTCTTCCCTTTCCTCAGTGCCCCCCAGGCAGGCCCAGCCCCGAGCACCATGTTCTGTTGTCCCAACACTGTGACTCCTGCTTTCCTTCCTCTGTTCCCAAAGACAACCCTATCCTGAAGCAGCTGCTCCCAGAGCACCAGCAGAAGGTCCTGAACCACCTGTCCCCTGACCTGCCGCTGGCTGTGACCGCCAACCTGATCAATGATGAGAGCTACTGGCGCCGCTGCTGCATGCAGCGCTGGCCTGTGTGCTACGTGGCCAAGCATGGCGGCAGCTGGAAGCGCATGTTCTTTGAGCGGCACCTGGAGAACCTGCTAAAGCACTTCATCCCAAACACCACGGACCCCGCGGTGATCCTCGACCTGCTGCCGCTCTGCAGGAAGTATGTGCGCAGGATCCAAGTGGATCAGTTCCTTCCGCCCGTGCAGCTGCCACCGCCACCGTGGAGTGGGGAACAGTCTGACTCGGGCAGCGAGGGAGAGATGGAGGAGCCCGCCATGGACCACTACCAACTGGGTGACCTGGTGGCTGGCCTGAGCCATCTGGAGGAGCTGGACCTGGTGTACGGTGTCAAGGACTGTGGCATGAACTTCGAGTGGAACCTCTTCCTCTTCACCTACCGGGACTGCCACTCCCTGGCGGCCACCATCAAGGCATGCCACACTCTCAAGGTACCGTCCGCCTCCAGCCTTCCCCCACCTCCCATTCTCAGCCTCTCTCTGATTCCCTCTCCCCTTCCCTTCCTCCCCCATCACCATCTTCTTCCTCCTATTTCCTTCTCATTCATGCACCCCACACCAAGCTGGATTCTGAGGATGCAGAGATTAACTGCCCTCCCAGTTCACCGACCATTGACTCATCCAACTAAGGTCCGCCCTCTAGACCCTGTCCTAGGTGCTGAAGATTCAGCAACGATCAAAATTATACCATCTGTGCCCTCTGGAGCTAACAGTCCGGTGGGATAAAAGGCACTAATCAGCAATCATATGAATGTAACATTGCACCTAGGATAGGGTTGCCAGATTTAGCAAATGAAAATACAGGACATCCAGAAAATCTGAATTTTAGATACACAATGAATAATTTTTTTAGTCTAAGTATGTCCTAAATATTCTGGTTGGAAGAGGGAGAGCCAGCCAGGAAGAAAAAGGGGGCAGGGCATTGTGTCATAGAGCCAAAGGAGGGACGCATTTCAGAAAGAGGGAGTGAAAAGCAACAGGGTGGGTTTAGCAAACACGGAGGTCACTGAGGGGGAGCTATGTCAGTGGAGTGCCGGGAGCAAAGGCCAGATCAGAGTGGTTTATGGAGAGTGGGAAGTGAGGAAACAGGACTGTGCTCAGCTTTTTCAAGAACTTGGCTGTGAAGGAGGTGAAAGGTAGAGCTGTAATAAATGACAGGTTTGGGTTTTCTTAAGAAGAAACTTGCAAGTGTTTAAAATCAATGTAAAGCTCCATCTAATTGCAAGAAAGGAGCTGAATACAGGAGAGAGGCACAGGTTCATTGACCAAGGAAGGTTCCTGGGAAGGCAGGAGAGGTGGCATCTAGGACTGAGGTGGGGCAGGTGGCTCTGAGCAGAGGGGAGAGTGGATGTGGTGGGTAGCACTGGGTTTGTGTTTGGGATTAGGAAAATGAGGGGTTCCCATTCAATGGCTGGGGAGGCTGTAGGAGACGTACCTGTTGAAAGGAGGCTGTAGGGTGGCCTCCTGAAGTTTGAGGAGGCTGCAGAAGGTTGAAATAGTTGTTGTAGATCATGAGAGAGTATGTTGGCCAGAGAAACAGAGTTGAATTGGCACACAGCACTGAGGGCCCATTGGTGGTTCCGGTGGTACCAACCAGTCCTGTCATGTGACATTTTCCATCATGTCAGTTGTTTGGGCACAGACATGCAGAAAATAGAGTGGAGTTGATCCAGGATTGGACCTTTGCCAGATAGATGCAATGAAAAGACAAGAGGGACAAATAACTCAAACTGGCTAAGATGTAAAGAAAGGAGAGGAGAGAAAGATAGGGAGACAGTAGAGAGGCCTCAAAGAAGAGGGAGGAATGGAACAAGCCCGTGAGAAGGAAAGGGGTAATGGCTCCCATCTCCAGTATTCATAATGCTGGGCCTACCCCCTTTCTCTTATCTTTTTTCTTCATCCCATCCATTTTCTAGCCAGCCCTGGTGGTCTAGTGGTTAAGATGGCACTCTCACCACCTCGGCCAGGGTTTGTTTCCCAGTCAGGGAACCACACCACCCGCCTGTCGTTGTCATACCAGGGTGGCTGCATGTTGCTGTGATGCTGAAAGCTATACCACTGGTATTTCAAATACCAGCAGGGTCACCCATGGTGGACAGGTTTCTGCGGAGCTTCCAGACCAAGACAGACTAGAAAGAAGGACCTGGCCACCCACTTCTGAAAAAATTGGCCATGAAAACTCTTTGAATAGCAGCAGAGCATTGTCTGATAGAGAGGATGGTGCAAAAAGATGGGGCAGGGTTCCACTCTGCTGCACACAGGGCCACCAGGAGAACTAGGGGCTGGAATTGACTTGATGGCACTAACGAAAAAAAATCTATTTTCTATTTCTCACCCTTCCCACTTTCTCCCCAGTTCTTATCCTGGCAATCTCCTTCAAAGAGATCCTCTCCTTATGCTGGTGGGTTTTAGCCATCTGAAGAGGGCACACTAAGGGGCTGGGGCATCAGACAGACCTGGATTCAAAATCTGCCTCTGCAGCTCAATCACTGCGTGACTCGGCAAATGATGTATTCGCCCTCAGCCTCCATTTTCTATCTGTAAATGGAGAGAACTCCTACCTCACTGGGATGCTGAGGGTTAGAGATAATGGTTATGAAATGTTCTAGCAGCATGCCCAGCACATAGTAATTTCTTGATAAACAGTAGCCTTTCCCCCCTACTGCCTGCCACCAATTCTATACTGCTCTGCCATGCTAGGTAGGCCTGCCCCATCCAAAAGCCAGCCAGGTGGCCAACACCAGGTGAGCAGAACCTCAGGCCTCCCTGCACCTCCCTTCGTTATCTGCAGAAGGTGGGCAGGCAGACAGATTATTCCTGGCTGCCCAGTACCGTAGACCCTCTACCTGCCCACAGATCTTCAGGCTGACCCGAAGCAAGGTGGATGATGACAAGGCGCGCATCCTAATTCACAGCCTCCTGGACCATCCAACCTTAGAGGAGCTGGACCTGTCACACAACCTCATTGGGGACCGTGGTGGGCGTGCTGCCGCCAAGCTGCTGAGCCACAGCCGCCTGCGTGTGCTCAACCTGGCCAACAACCAGGTGCGTGCAGCTGGTGCCCAGTCACTGGCTCACGCCTTGGCACACAATACCAACCTCCTTTCCCTCAACCTGCGCCTCAACTGCATTGAGGATGAGGGCGGCCAGGCACTTGCCCACGCCTTGCAGACCAACAAGTGCCTCACCACGCTGCACCTCGGTGGCAATGAGCTGTCTGAGCCCACTGCCACACTCCTCTCCCAGGTGCTCTCCATCAACACCACGCTCACCAGCATCAACCTGAGCTGCAACCACATCGGGCAGGTGAGCCACCGCTCCTGGGGCTGGCAGGGCCAAGGAGAGGCCCTGGGGCCTTTGGAGGGTGGATGTTGAATCCAACAGCAATGGGGCACTTACAGGATAATTGTTAAGATCGCAGACTTTACCTCATTCCAATCCCAGCTCTGCCATTAAGCACTTGGTTAAGTTACTTAACTTTTGGGGGCCTCCATTTCCTCATCTGTAAAATGGGGATAATAACAGTATCTACTTTAAATGTTGTTACTGGGAGGATTAAATGTTATACTTGTAAAGCAACTAACCATCACAGGCACTGGCTAGGTTCTCAGTAATTGCTAGCTTTCACTATCACTCAGGGTTATATACTATGCTAGATACCCAATATCCATTAGTGTTCCTTTAATGCTCACAGTTATCTCATAAAATGTGTACTCTTACCCCTACTTTACAGATGGAAAATTGAGTCTCAGAGAGGTTAGTGAGTTGCCTGAGAGCATCCAGTCAGCAGAAAGTGGCAGAGCTGTGATTCAAACCCAGGACTGATTGAAAGCCTGGGTCCCTTCCAACAGACAATGTCTCTCAAATTTTCTTGACCAAGTCTCAGAGTAAGAAACGCAACTTACACCAACACCTCGTGAACACATCCATCAACATAATTGGAGTTTACTCCTACTGCTTGTGATATATGCTGATGTTTCCCTTTATATTCTATGTACTTTATTTTCTTTAATGCTTCCATAGCCTATTAAGTTGACTTTGCAATGCACTATAGCGTCACAAGCACAGAACAGCTGCGCTCTACCTCCCACCATGAAATTCTTTCACACGGGGCCTGGCCCACCCAAACCAGAAGGGGCTGGAGCTGTGAGGACTATGGGGAGGGCCCTCTGTGTACTCCAGTCAGGCCCCTGCACCCTCTACTCACCCTCCCCAGAGGACAGTCTTGCCCACACACACTGTCTCCAGAGGGGGCACTCTTGGTTACAAGTTAACCAGAAAATGGCGTAAACAAGAGGAATATTCATGCTGTCCCTAATCAGAAGCCCCAGGGTAGCGAGTGCTGGGGTTGGTAAATTCCTGGGGTCAGTGCCATTCTCTCACCACATGGCCGTGGCCTCTCGGGTGCTCCTCTCATGGTGCCAAGATGGCTGCTGCATCTCACATGGGGCCATGCTCAGAAGCAGAAAAAGGGCAAACGCCCCTCTCTTTCGTTCTTCCTTCAGTGAGAACCTTCCCAGAAGTCACTCCCTCCAAACGTCCTCCTCACATTGCATTAGCCAGATCGGCCTCACATGCCCAGGGCTGAACCAGATGCATGGGATTACCATCACCGCCACAGAGCCATGTTTTTCAAAGCATTGGGATTGAAAAATCAATTTAGTGAGTCTTGAGCACCATTTTTCTTATGGAATAGAATGGACTAGGATAGCATAGAATAGAAAACACCAGTGTGCTACACAACTAGGTTAAATATTATTTTGTGAAACTTTTGTTTCAGTCGCCTCTATACACAAACGTGTGTGTGTGATCCTGGGAAGCGATGTAAAATGACCACTTCCCTTGTACTCCTCTCCCAGGACGGCGGGAAGCAGCTCCTGGAAGGCATGTCAGACAACAAAACCCTCCTGGGGTTTGACTTGCGCCTGTCAGATGTATCCCAGGAGAGCGAGTACCTCATTGGCCAAGCCCTTTCTGCCAATCGTGAAGCAGCCCGCCAACGGGCCTTGAATCCCAGCCACTTCATGTCGCCAATCACTGCCAAGGGCCCTGAGAACCCTGTGGGATAAGATGGGGGACAGGGCTGGGGCAGTGCCCCATCCCCCACTTCATGCCCCTGCCATGCCTGCTGCAGACTGTCACACCGGTCCAGAGGGAGGGAGATAGGGAGACCAGGAATATGCTGGGGTGAGTGATCAAAAGTTGTGTGGATAAAGATGTGAACAGGGGGAGGGGCCTGGGATAGGGGAAGAAGGGGTATGAAGTGGGACCCAGCCCCCATACCCAGGGAGAGAATATCACTGGACCCCTTGAAATGACCAACTTCTTCCAGCAATAGGGAAGGCAGAGAGGATTCTGAGGGACTGCGCCTGCCCAGGCTCTCGCACGAGGGCTGCCCGCCTCCCTGACCACACTCCCTACCATTTTCCTATCGCCTCGACAGATCCTTAACCTCTAGACCTTCAAACACACACACACTCTGTCTCTACACGCTCTCTTCCTCCTCTGGTTGCAGCCGAGCTTTGCCTGGCTCTTCCACCCTCACCCCTGTAGATGCCACCTCCCTATTACTTGACCCTGCTTAAGTGATCCAGTTCTACAGGCCATGCCATCCCCTAATCCTCTCCCCCAACCTGGGAAGGGGGAAACAGAGGTGGCAGGAGTGGCTCAGACCCAGTGGCCTCCCCAGAGAGCTTCCCATGAGATGGCGGGGGAAGTGCCACGCTGGGAAGGGAAGTCCGTGAGTCATCTGCAACTTTATTATCCACCAGTTTGATTTATACAATCTTTGCGCTTGGAAATCCACGACAGAAAGGCCACAGTGTGATGCACCCAATTGACAAAAACCTGTCTTCTCCCCATCCAGGCCCAGCCCACCCCACAGGCCCTTGTCCACAAGACAAATGGAGCCCTCCAGATACCTTCTATGAGTCCCCGTCACTCTGCAGCTGCCCACCCTAGGGCCACACCCACAAGAATCACATCAACCGATGGGGCCACGAGGACTGATGGATTCAGGCTGAGCCCCATCTTCCATCCTGCTTGCACTGAAGGGCCCAGAACCTCTAAACCCATTTCCAAAGGGTGGGTCATGCACTGCAACCACAGCCTAAGGGGCCTGCTCTCCGGGGACTCCTTCCAACAAGCAGGCGCTGAGCAGAGCACCAAAGGGGCCTTGGGAGTGACTGCATATGTGTGCCTGTCTGGGCAACCTAGAGTCTGTCTGTGTGTGCCTGACACCCTCTGACAGTTCCGGAGTGCAAAACGTGTAGGTGCGAGAGTGTGAGTGTGTGTGTGTGTGTGTGTGTGTGTGTGTGTGTGTGTGTGTGTGTACGTACATAGCCACAGCTGCTAGCAGAGTTCTAATTAGAGAAACAAGAACATTCAGTGTAAAGTTTAATTTTAGAGATTAATTAATTTTCTGGTTTTCATTTTTCCCTGGCAATCAATAAAGCTACCAAGAAAAGAGACCAAAGAAGTGGTTTCTCTCTAAGTCTGTGCGTGTGTGGGAGGTGAGGCTGTCTGTGTGAGAAGACCTAGGCAGAAATGGTCAATACAGGCAAAAATAATAACACGGGCCCCCCTTCTCCTCCTCCCAACTCAGGCTGTCCTCGCACAAGGGCATGACATCCAGGTGCCAGCTGGCCAAGAACTGGGGCCTGAGGCCACAGCTCACCACCTGTACCTCACAGATGTCCATTCAGAGGAAAGAGGGGTGCTCCAACCGCCAGACCCCTGAGGAGCATAGACTCAGGGTCCAGGCGGGTTCAGTGCTGGCAGACAGGTGGGCTCTGCTGCCCAGGGAAGCCTACTGGGCAGCTGTCCCCTCCTGCCCACACCTCCCCTTCTCCAGCCTCCATTCCCGTCCACTCAGCCATCTCCACATGAAAGTAAAGCTCAACCCCCAATGGCCATGCACCATGGTGTCCCCACAATCTGTGCCTCCCAAGTCCCCCCAGGAAGGAGAGGAGGGGAGCCAAAGGAGATGTTGCATAGGTGGAGGCCATGCCCTTGGCGGGTGCAGGCCTGGCTAGGCTGGAGGAAGATGGGAGAGGCTGAAGGAAAGGAAGGAGGAGCTCTGCCGGCTCAGACAAAGTGAGAAGCATCCAGGGTGAGCAATATCGGGTGGCCCAAGGGTTATCCTCTCCAGCTTGAAATGTGAGCTCAATCCCTGGGCACTAAGTCTGCTGGGAAATCTTTAGCCAGGGGAGCTGGGAGGGCAGGAGGGTTGTACACAGACATGCACACGGAAGCACATCAGGGTGGGAGTCATGGGGGAGAGAAGGTGGTGTCAGAGCTTTGGGGGAACAGGACTTGGGGCCAGTGCCCTGGGGTGGTGGCAGGTGCCCCTTTGAAGACCCTAGGACACACAGCAGGGCTTCAGCTCATGGCATAGGGGAGGACAGAGGAGTCAGACAAGATTTAGAGAATCCTGCCTCCGACCCTGCCACTGGAATTGACTATTTCTCCAGCTGGGGCTTGCGATCCCGTCCTCCGCCCTGCAGAGGCAATGTGTGGGGACCACTTTCCACTCCTCCCCACAAGTCTGGGGGAGGCAAGGGCCACCCCCCCCCCCCCACAGACACCCCTACCTCTGGAGGTCCTTTCACTCTACCCTCCACTGCCCTCTCCTCTTTGCCTCCCACCTGTGTCCAGAGATCCTCGTTGTCACCCAGGTTTGCTTCCACTCTCTGCACTCAGTCATTCACGTTGGCCAGCAGTACCCCTGGGCGGTACCTCACCCTCTCTGAAATGAGCACCCTCCCAGAACCCAGGTGTGGAGGCTGCTGCCAGGAGGCTGCAGAGCTTAGAGAAAAGGCTAAGTGAGGTACACTGCCCTCCACATTTTGCCTCCCCCCACCGTCCTCCCCGCTGGCAACAGCTCTTCAGAACCAGGGAGAGGGAGGGGGAGGGGAGGAAGGGGAGTGACGTCTGTGTGGTGAGCACAGTCCCTCCGGACCCGGACTCCCGGGGCCCAGCGAGATAAACAACAGCGGAGAGAGTGACAGAAAGGAAACCCCGACCTTTGGGGCCAGCGCCAAAACGATAGCAACATTTCCACGGTTTTGAGATGGCGCATCCGGGCTGACACCTGGCCCCAGCCTCAGACCCACTGAAGTCATTAGCAGGTTGGAAGCCAGCCCTGCTGTTCAGCAAACCACTGCTCCTCAGCAGAGAGAGGCCCCAGTGGGGCGGGGCAGCGGGGGAAGGAAAGCCCCAATTTCCCTTCCCCACAGCCTCTAAACCTCCCCAGCTCCACAGCGAGGGCCTCGCACTTGAGACGAGGCCCAATGTGGGTCCCACCGCACAGTCGCCACATAACAGTCAGAAAATTCGTTGAAAGGCTGGGCAGGAAACCTCGAGTGTGCGTGTAGAAAGGGGAGGTGCCCCCTTAGGAACTCAGGGGCCGGGCTGGAAGAAACGGCTCTGCCGGCTGGGATGCTCTCGGAGCCGCCCACTCCCACCCTCCTCACTGTCTCTTTAGGTATAGGGAGAAGGGGGGCGGGGGGGGGGGAGGGGGGGAGCATGGGGCGTGTCTCGGCCCCATCCGGGTCTGTCCCGCGCACTCTTGCCTCCCCCACCCCCCGCAGTGCCCAGCACAACCTCAGTCACCATAGTGACTCCCCCTGCTACAGGCAGGGAGCACGGTCCAGCGAGGGGCAGCGGGCAGGCTAGCGGACCTGTCCAGGCGCCGAGGATCACAGTGAGGTCTCTACACAGGAGCCGTGGCGGTGCAGCGGCCGATGGCTGTGGCCCAGACACCCCTCCTGCCGGTGCACGATGAGCACCGGGAAGTAGAGGGCGTCGTGGTAGGGCGGCGGCGGCCCGGCCTCCTCCTCGTCGTCGTCCTCGTCGTCCCCCATGCTCGCCTGGCTCGACAGCCGCGTCTGCTCCGTGGGGCAGCTCGCCTCGTTGACGCTCCCGCTCCGGCTGCGCCACAGGCAGCTACGCCGGGAGCCATAGAGGCGGCCGAGCGAGAAGCGGCTGCCCGCGCAGGCCGGCCCCCCGCCGGGCCCCGGGCCGGCCCGCGGGCTGGCGCAGATGCTCAGCGCGCTGCGCGAGAAGATGGACGAGCTGCTGACGGCGCGCTGGCAGTGCTCGCAGCTGCGCCGGTACGGGGCCACGCCCGCCGCGCCCGGGCCGCCCACGCCGCCGTAGCGGCACGAGGGCGCGTAGCCGGCCGCGCCCCCCGCGCAGCGCGCCCCCAGCCCCGCCAAGTCCATGAGCACCGCCTCGGAGTAGCTGGGCACCAGCTGCTGGTTGGAGCGGATGTGCCACTCGAGCTCTGTGCTGTCCACCGTGTTGACCCGCGGCAGGCGGTGGGTGAGCGGGGGCAGCAGCTCGTCGCTGGGGCTCAGGCCGCCGCCCGCGCTGCTCGCCGAGCCCGGGCCCTCCAGACCGAAGAGCTTCTCCACGTGGTAGTGCGCGTAGGCTGTGCGGTACTCGGCCAGCACGCGCAGCGGCCACGACAGCGTGAGCAGCGCCGCGGCCCAGAAGGCCGACGAGCAGGCGTACCACGGCGGCCTGGCCGGGTCCGGGAAGGCCACCATGAATTCGCGGAAGTCCACGTTCTTGAGGTGCATACCCTCGCGCGCCTCCATGTAGTCGTCCAGGCCCTCGTTCTCGGCGAAGAAGCGCGCGCGCTGGCACAGGTAAGCGTTCTCGGCCTCCACGCTGGCGAAGCTGAAGCACTTGGTGAAGCGCAGCCGCGTGGCCGGCGCGCCCTCCAGCCCCACTAGCGCCTTGGACACGTCGCGGACGCCACACCGCGCATAGTCGAACTCGGCCTCCGCCACGTGCGTGTTGACGCGCTCATGGTAGACCTGCGGAGCAGGGGAAGGCGGCGGGAGTCGCTTGTGTCCGCTCACTCTCGTCCGCCCCATCGCTGCTCTTGTTGCCTGGTCAAACCCTGAACCTATCCCGGTTGGAGCCGGGTAGCATCTTAGCATCTGGTTTATAGAGAACCTGAGGCCCTCACCCTAATCAGTGAGTTAGAGATGAGGGCAGAAGTAAAACTCAGCTGTACCAGTGTGCATTCTACTTTAAATTAAGCCCTGCCTTCTCTAGGGGTCAGGCCCCGGCCATGAACTGCCCCTCCAGCTTGCCTGACCCTTTTGTTAGTGTCTCCGTTGTCCCACACTGCCCTTCATCACCACGAACAGCCTGCCCTTCTTCCCTTTACGAGTGTGTTTCCAGTGGGCCCTCCGGAGGAGCTCCTTGGCGAACACCTTTGTCTCTGGTCTCCCTGTTCCCGTCTTAGCAGTCACCCAGCCTCCTTCCTGATCCTTATAGGCCCCAGGCTTCTGTTTACCCATCCCAATACTGAGACAGAGGTCACCCTCATCTGGGAGAATCGCCTCCTCCTCTTCCTCCAGGGCCCCAATATATCTAATTCTGGCGGCTCCAGGGAGTGCTGATTGACATCCCCCCCACCCCACCCCTTGTGGGGCCTCCCAAGACTACCTCCACCTTTTTGCCAGCTGACTCCCACCTCTGGGATCCTTGGACGTGGGATCAGAGGCCCTGGGTTTGAGTCTAGTACCACCACTTAGCAGCCGCAGACCTTGGACAAGTCACTGAGCTTAGGTCTCCTTAGCTGTGAAAGAGGACTTGGTAGCAGCCGCCTCACAGATCAGGTGAGAGCATGCTGTGAGACGTGCATATGAAGTCATCTCCAACTGTTAAGCACTACACAGTGTAGATCCCGCAGCCAGACTACAGACTAGCTGTTTGACTTTGAGCAAGTTACTTAACCTCTCCAAGCCTCAGTTTCCTCATGTGTAAAATGGCTCATAGTGTTGTTAGGAGAGTTAAATAAATGATTTAAGATTTGTAAAGCACTTGGAGCAAAGCCAGGCTGCCAGTAAGCGTTTGTTGTTATATGGTGGTTATTATTGCCCTCCGGTCGCAGGGCCCACAGGAGCTCACTGCTGCCTGTGCTCTTCCCGCTGGGGGCAGTCACGCAGGGTCCCAGAAGCCCCTCCCATCTGGACTAGCCTGCACTCCCCCCGCCCTCCCCCCGGCCCCTCACCTGGGTGGTGGTGTAGGCATCTCCGTTGCGATATCGGGTGACCTGGCGGGTGCGGCGGACATAGTGGTAGCTGATGGCCTTCCACCAGATGCAGGGCGTGGCCTGCTGCATGCGGCCCACGCGCTCCCGCACGCTGCTCACGTCAACACGGTGCTGCAGCTCATGGCGGGCTTGGCAGTGCCAACACTCCACCAGGTAGACGGCGTACAGCATGAGCAGGAAGGCCAAGGGGATGTAGACATAGCCGTTGGAGCAGGGGCTGTCGTGGTACATGAGGCTGTTGCCCTGGTAGGCGCTGCTGAAGGTGAGGCGGGTCACTGTGGTGACGTGGCACCAGGCCACGGCCCCCAGGCAGCCGTACATGAGCAGTGAGAGCAGCAGGCACTTCCAGTGGGACTCACGGCAGAGGGACTTGGTGAAAGAGGGCTGGATGGGACGCTGCTGCTCAGATGGGCAGGGAAAGGGGCCGAGATGAGTGGGGAGTGAGACAGAGCGGCAGGACCCAGCACAGAGATGGATGCAGGGATGGAGGGGCAGAGGCCAGCACCAGAGATGACAGGCAGAGACAGACAGCAATGTGGAGAGAAAAGGTAAGACCAGGAGGAGAGCCAAGGACCAGATATAAACACAGAAGTGACCCAGAGTGAGCCATGAGGACAGGAAAAGGGAACAGAATGCCAATACAGGGAAGGGCAGAGAGGGATCAGAGCCAGAGATGGAGGGAGGAGGCCCAGGTGACATAGAAGACACAGATGGATAGGATGGCACCCAGAGAAACAGAGTCCAAAGACAGACACAAAGATGGCAATGAAACAGGAGGTGTGGATGGGGAAGACAGGGGAGGACAGACAGGCATCAGCAAAGGCAGGTGCCCAGCCCGGATCCCTTCCAGGTGTTCCAAGAAAGAAGGGAGGGGCCCACTGTCATCATCTTCCCACGTAACAGGTGGGGCCCTCACTCCTAGATTTTTGCAGTCCTTAGTTCTGGAAGAGCCACTCCTCTCTGATCCATCCACCTCCCTGTCCCTCACAGACAGCCTCATGCCTCCTTTGGAAGGAGACCCCCAGGAAACCTTAGGCCCTGTCTCTTTCCCCCACGTTCTGGACCCCAGGCCTCCTGTGAGTCTCCCTCCTGCACCCTAACATCCTTCCCCTGTTCTAAGATGGGAGGGGGGGTGGTTGGGCATCCATGAGCACAAGGCTGTCCAGGAGGAGAGATCCAGAAGGGCAGAGACATATGGCTGGGGAGAGAGGATGTAAGACAAGGTAGGAGGGTAGGGAGGAAGACGTTTGCAGCCCAGCCATTTATCAAGAGAAGACAATTTTTGGTGCTCTCCCAGGGCCTGTTAAAGGACTTGGCACATTCTGTCCCACGGTCACCCCAGAGAGTTGTTTACATGTCTGGCTCCCCACTAGACTGGGTGCTCCTGAAGGCAGGCCTCGTTCTCTTTGCATCCCCGGGCTCACCAGGGTGCTGGCACCCAGCAGCCTCTTAATAGACGAGTACTGAGCTGGATTTCTGGTGGAGGCCTGCGCTTTCCCACTCCTCCCCACACACACCCTCCTGCTGAGATGCTGACTTATTCCCTCAATTCCCCAGGCCTGACCTGGAGGCCGGCCAGGGGAAGGGAGAAAAGGGCGGAAAGGCAGAGCACAGTAACAGGCAGCGAGCCCTGGACCTAGTGTGGAGTCAGGGAAAGATCTGGAAGGGCAGATAGGTAGGTAGGCTAGGACACAGCACACAGCATACACAAGCAAGATTCGGGTGCACGTGCCTTTGGGGAGCCCTGTCCTTGGGGGTGTGTGCATATGTGCACCTTCATGTGCCCACCTGGGTGTGCACTTGTCCCAATGAGAGCACATCTGAACGGGGCTCTACCTGCAGGTCCGTCCCCGCCTGTGTGCTTCTGCCCTAGTGCAGTGTGTGTGTGTGTGTGTGTGCACGAGTGTGCACGGGAGATACAGGGGTAGCGAAGTGCTCCTGGTACTTTCCTCAGTCCCTTTGTTTCCAGGTTCAGAGGACTGAAGGGTAAGGCCTCCAACTAGGGATATGCTTAGTACCAACATTCTGAAGGATTCCTGGACTCAGGGACCTGCGCGGGCTGCATGGACACTGGGATAAAGAGGCGCACATCCTCCTCATACACACACTCCCAGTGACCCCAGGGGGGGACCGCCTCTGTACACATTTGACCTTCTTAGGACCCCAGTTCAGGTAATACTACCATTTCCCCATGGTACTCTCCTGCCTCTGTAGCCCCTGCAAGTCGCCCTTCCTGGCCTTCGAGATAGCATCCCCCTCCACGAGATAGGATCCTTGCCACCCTCCCCACCCCGATCCGCCCGGGGTCCGCGAGGCTCCGCCCCTAGGCCCCTCCTCCTGCCCGGGACCCCCTGAGCCCCGCCCCCGGCGCGGCCCCTTCCCCGCTGCCGCGGACAGCTCTGGCCGCTGGTGGGGGCAGCGGCGCGGGACTGCGGCTGCGGCGGCCGGCTCGGGGTGCGGGGCGCCGGCCGCGCTGCGGCGGAACCCGCGGGGGCCGCGCGCGGCGGGGGATGGGGGGCCAGGCTGCGGCCGCGCCCGGGGAAGGGGCGCCGCCGGCTCTCACCTCCTCTCGGGCGGGGCCCTCGTCCGCCGCCGCCGCCGCCGTGGGCTCCTCCGGGACCCCGGGGCCGCCACCGCCGCCGCCGCCGCCGGCGCTCTCTCCCGCGGCCGAGCCAGGGGGGGACATGGCGTAGAGGGGGCGCGTCGAGCTCAGGGCCTCCCGGAGGGCTGCCGGGGGCCGGGGGCATCCTGCGCGGGCCCTGGGGAGGGGGCGGGAGGGGGCGGGGCCCTCGCTGCTCCCCACCCCCCGCCGGGGGGAGGGGGCCTGGACAGGGCGCCGGGGGTAAGGGGCTGGGGGCTGGGGGCTGGGGGTGGGGAGGCGGGCTGGGGGGCCGGGCTGGGGGGGCCGGGGCCGGGGGCGGGTGTCACCTTGAGGCCCTCGCGGCGCCGCTCCGCCTCCCGCCCGCTCCCGCCGCCGCCTTTTGTCTGAGCCGAGCTGGAGCCAGCGCTCCCCCCCTCTTCCTCCCAGCGCAGGAGCCCCGCCCCCGGCCCCCCAAACTCCGCCTTCCCCAAGCCTACCTAATAACCACCCCCCAAAGGGGAGAAGCAACAGGGGCTCCGTGCACCCTTTCTCCACTCCCAGCCCTGCTCACCACACGCCCACCCCAACATCCTAGGAAGGTCTATGCTGCAACTCCTCTCTGTCTATTCTCCATGAAGGGGGCGCCAGAGGTTCAACCAACATCCCTCCCCATCCTTGGTTCCCGCAAGTTCCTGGGGCTGAGGGTGGGAGAGGAAATTGAGTCTTGGAACCCTAGGGAAGAGCCTTATTCGCAGTTGGGTGGTAAACGGTTAAGGCAGGAGTCAGACTTCAGAGGCCAGTCCCAGCTGAACAGGCATGGAATAGAATGAAGGGAAAAGGCTTGGAGCTAGAAGTAAGGAAGGACTAACAGAGGGCAGAGAGGAGGACATTGGAACCAGCCTTTACTGAGCCATCTTCGCTCCCTAGAAGAGCCCCAGAGAAGCACTGAAGTGTGTACATTGCCCCAGGCTGGAGATCTGGAAACCAGGCTCTGCCATTAATGTATTGTGTGGACTTGGGCAAGTGCCTTCTCCTCTCTGAGCCTTAGTTTCCTCATCTGTGCAGGGAGGAGGGTGACTGGACAATCTCTAAGACTCTGGCCTTCTTCTGTGAGTGTAGGAGGCAAAGTCACAGACCACAGATCAGGCAGCCTAGTCTTCGTGTCTTCTATCCACCCTGCTTTTCTCTGCACCACCTAAGACAGGCAGAAAGGAAACTGACATTCATTCATTCACTCATTCATTCATTTCTGGATGCATACTGTGTGCCCTGTTCTGAAATGAAACACACAATTTTCTACCCTCAAGGAGCATCAAGTCTAAGGTGGGGGCGGGGGGGGTCACATGGAAAGTAATCATTATGATAGAGTAGGAGAAAGCCAATGCATGATCAATCTGTGTGTGCACAGTCACTATGGCCTCCTACTGTGTGTCATGTGCTACATTAAAGGCTTTGACATATAGTCACTGTGTCTCCATTTACCCACAAGGAACCGAGGCAGAGGGAGGGTAAGTGACTTACACAAGGTCACCCGCTAGGACTCACGGCGCTAGTCCTAGAATCCAGATCTTTCCCATTCAGAAGTCCATGGGGATATTTGGGGGTAGGAAGTTAGCTTGAGGCAAAGCCTGGACTTCTGATCTTTGGGGCTAGGGGAAAGCACACCAATCTGCTGGGACGATCCTGTCCCTCATCTGGTGCAGAAGAGCCACCACCTCCACCCCCACCACAGACACACCCCCCACTCCTGGTTCTGCCTCCGTTTTCCTACTCTTCCCTTTCCAGGTGAGGTGAAGGGGGCCCTCTGTCCGCCTATCGCTTCAGAACTATCCAGCCTGCATGGTCCTCCCCAGGTCACTGAGTTCATCCTCCCTGCCCAAACAGGGGAAGATGTGGTCCTTAAGAGGCAGGGGTTCTCCTTCGCTCCCATGGCAGAAGGAATCTCACTTGGTGGCTCATTCCAATGTCTCCTGCCCATGGTTTTTGGGAACTCATGCCTCACAGCTAACTCCAGCCCCTCCTCTTCTGGTTTCAGCTCATCCCACCCAGTTCACTGCAGACAGAGAGCAGAGGTCCTAACCCTGGCCTTTCCTAACCCAGATAGGATCCGCACCCTCCCCATTTAGTTGTTATCTTACTCTGGCCTGCCATCCCTGCTGCTTTCCCGTCTCCACTTCACGGGGCTTTAGAAGAGAGAGAGCCCATCTTTCAGCCAATCCCAGAGCTCCCAAGAGATAAAAGACCACCCTCCCTCTTTGCCACTCACACACATGACCCTTCCTTAAAAGCCCAGGCAAAAGAGGGTGAGGGGGGGTGGCTGTGAAAAGACCCAACTGGTCATCATGGCAACCAGACCTGTTTCCTGAAGATGAGCCTGGCTGGGGTGTGTGGAAGTGGGGAATGAGGGTCTGAGGAGGGGCATGACAAAGGGAACCAGAAAACACTGGCAGAGACAGAAGACGATGGGAGGGGCCCAGCCTCGGAGAAGACTGGGGCTGAGGAAGTGAAGTCAGGACCCTGACTATCCTGTGGTCAAAATCCGCGGGCCACCTTTCCAGATGACTGCCATGGTCCCTCTCCCCGTTCCCGAAGTGTTCCCAGAAGGGCTTCCTGTCAGTGCAGGCTAGGTGGAAGCAGTGGGTGACTCAATGCTGACCTCATGTGGCCAGAAAAGGGGCTGCCACGCACCTGTTATGGTTCCAAGCCAGACACTGCACTCGATCTGGGTAGGTTTTTCCTCAAATTCAGCTTCTGTGTGAATGAGAGGGACAGTCACTGCACAGTCCTGAGTTCTTGTGTCCTTGCAGAGGGCTCGGATGCCCCAACTCCTTAGGCTTTCATAAAGGAAAGAAAATTTCACTGAAAACATTTTTAAAGTTCTCAATTAGTGGCAGGAGAACCTGGCTCTGCACTTTCTGTTTGACCTTGGGCAAGTCAACTCACCTCTCTGGGCCTCAGCTTCCCAACTTTAAAATGGGATGATAGTGCCAGGTTTTGAACCCGAGTGGTTTGGCTCTGGAGTGTACGACTACTTTGGCTCCAGCCTTTGAAGATGGGAGAGGAACCTGTCAGGGGAGGAAGTTGAGAACAGCTGAAATCACACTGACCCCAAGGGAAAGAGATGCCTCAATTTCCTTGGGCTTTCCCCTCATGGTTCCTCACTGCCTCATGCTTGACACATCCTCCCCACTCTGATCGTCCTTGGGGAAGGAGAACAGTGGGTCATCTCCTCCCGTTTGCCTCCCCCCTCTCTTCTCTCTCCACTCACTCCCCCTCCAGAGACTAGGTACTTCTCTTCTCCCTAGCCTGTTTCCCTTCCCATTTCCAGTTCAAATGGAAACTTCTCTGCACCTAACCCTACTGGGCAGTTGGCCCCACTGTGCGCACCCCCCAGCACCCTGCTCTCATTCCTGTCTCAGCACAATCACTCAATGTCATAATTGCCAGAGAACTTTTTGAAAGCTGGAACCATGGGACATTTTTTGGTGGTCAGGGGGTGTGGTTGTTGGTTATCACTCCTACCGTGATATTTGGTTTTGCTTCCAACAGAGAGAACAATGTCAGACATACAGGAGAAGCTTCATATATGTTTGTCAAATGGGTGAATGGATGGATGGATGAATAAATGAGATTGCATGGGGGAGGGCAGTAGGGAAGCTGGTTAGTGGCCATCTACACTCACCCCAGCTCCCTGCTGCCAATGCCAGAGATGGAAAGGGGAGATGTTCCCTTGGGGATGACCTTCTAAGGGTATTTATGGCCCTAGGTTGATAGCACTTGGGGTAGGGGATAAATCATGGGGCTCTGGTTGGGGGTTCACTATGTGGGTGGGGTTTGCCTATGGCCTCCCTTAGGCCCAGGGTAACAGAAAAGATGTGCTGGCATTGGGGCCGGGCTGCAGAGGGGACCTCAGCAGAGCACAGCCCAGCATGTCTGGGGCCTCCCCATCCCAGCCCCACCAGGAGGAACTAAACTTCCCTGACCGCTGGGGGTGACCAGATGTTGTAATCACCCGAGGCCACTGTTTCACCCCATGAGGGATGACCACCCTGCTCCTTTAGACAACGAAAAACATGACCATTCTGATTTTTTTAGACAACAGTCTACCTGAGAAAACCCACTTTCGAAAAACACATCCTCGTATCCAATTCTGTGTGATCTGGGAAGTTGACACAGGAGACCCTCTATCCAGGACCCAAAGGGAGAGCTGCTCCTTTAAAGACAGTGGGTGTCCCCTTTCCCTACCCAAACTCCTGGGCACTGGTAGAAGAGAAAGCAAGAGAAATGGGCCCGGGATAGGAAGCAATGCGTCCCCCTCCCACCACCCACATGCCCCCCCCCCCACGAGACGCCCAGCTTGCGCAGTGAATAAATATTCCTTTAAAAACAAACGAATGGGGGCTGGCCCCATGGCCAAGTGGTTAAGGTCACGCGCTCTGCTTCAGCGGCCTGGGGTTCGCAGGTTCAGGTCCTGGGCGCAGACACACACACTGCGCTCATCAGGCCATGCTGTGGCAGCATCCCACATAGAAGAACTAGAATGACTTACAACTAGGATGTACAACTACGTACTGGGGTTTTGGGGAGGAAAAAAAGAGGAAGATTGGCAACAGATGTTAGCCCAGGGCCCATCTTTCTCACCAAATGGCATACCTTAAAAAAAAAAAACGAATAAATGAATGAATGGAAAAAAATGAATGAAGAAGTGGAGGAGGTGGAAAGAAAGAATGCGTGGAATTAATGAATAGAATGAAGCAGGAAGGGGAAAAGAGTAAATGAATGAATAGTTGGATGAATGAATTACCGGGTGAATTAACGCACGGGTGAGTCAGACCGGGTAACCCCCGGCTGGCAGCCAACGCAGAGGGCGGGGTCAGGGGGATTCCGAAGGGCGGGGCCTTGGCCCGGAAGCGCCCGTCGGGGGCGGGGCCAGGGGGCGGGGCGAGCGCGCGTCCGACCGGGTTGCCCCGCTGCCTGAGTAGCCGCTGCGGTGGTCCTCGCCGGCGCCCCGAGACTGGTCCGTGCTTCTCGCCGAGCTGTCCGGCCCCCGCAACCCGGGAAGGAGGCCACTCCGGGCCGGGCGCCTGCTCTGCACCGCGGCCCTGCAACCCGGAAAGGCCGCCGGCCGAGCCCGGAGCCGGATCCTGCTCGGACCCGGCCCCCGCGGGCCGGCGCCGCGGGCATGTCGGAGGCGAGGAAGGGGCCGGACGAGACGGATGAGAGCCAGTATGACTCGGGCATCGAGTCTTTGCGCTCGCTGCGATCCCTGCCCGAGCCCGCCCCGGCCCCGGCCCCCGGGCCCTCAGACGGCGGCGGCCCCCAGCCCTGGACCCATCCTCCCCGAACGGCCAAGGAGCCACAGGAGAAGGAAGACACAGATGGGGAGCGGGCTGACTCCACCTATGGCTCCTCGTCGCTCACCGAGCCCCTGACCTTGTTGAGGGGCCCCGAGACCGAGGACACAGACCCAGGCTCGCCGCTGCCCCCCGCGGGGGCGCTGAGCCCTCGGCAGCTGGAAGCACTCACTTACATCTCTGAGGACGGAGACACGTGAGTATGGGGGCCAGGCTGAGATGGGACCCCTTCCTCCCGATGCTAACTCGGGTCCTCTCTAAGAGCCACAGCAGGCCGAGCACCCCCACTATGAGGATCCCTCAAAGCACCCGTCCTGGAAGGGACAGTCCCCAGTCTCTCTTCCAAACTCCAAACTTAACTCTGAGCCCGTTTTTGAGCTCTAGCCAGGCCCGGACCAGAGGATCTGGCATCATCTCTCTTTCAGCAGGGCCCTTACCAGCACCTGGAACCCCAGCTAGTATCTTAGAAACCTACCAATAACCCACCCCTAGGAAGAGAAAATTCCCCTGACCAGTCCAGTTTTTTTTTTCCTTGCTGTGGGAGAGGGCATCCTTGTTTGCTCAATATCTGAGATTCCCGGTCCTTGACCTCAGTCAGAATGCCCTGTCTCAAGGAACAAGACATGCCGGTTGCAGGTTGCCAGTGGGGGCCAGGAAGCCAGGGGTGGGGGGACCGCCAGGGTGCAGAGCTGAGGCTGGCCCTGAGGAGGAGGGGTGAGCCAGGCTGGGGCACTGTTGCCCCAGCAGACAGACAGGCGGCTGGCTGCCCCAGCTTACTTCCTCCTCTGCTGAGAAAGGGGAAGTGAAGGCTGGAGTCAGTCTTACCGACACTCTCCACCTCCTGAGCCCCCGAAGTCCCCCCTCACTGTCCTGTCTGACCCCCTCACTTTATCCTTCCTCCCCAAGGTCCAGGTGGAGCTTGGTGGGGACAGAGCTAGGGGGCAGTTGAATAAGAAGCACTAGTGTGGGAGGGGCTGGCCAGTTGAGGACTAGCCCCTCAGGAAGAAGAAAACCCTGACAGGAGAGGGGGTGGCTGGGATTTGGGGGTGAGAAACAGAGTGGACAGGGCTGGGATCCCAGATCAGGGATAGTGGACTGTGAAGGGTGTGTAGAGGAGCCAGGAGGTGTCTGTGCTGACCTGCTTTTTGGAGATGATCTCCTGATCCTGGATGGCCTTTGACAAAGACAGCTTCTGGACCCAGTGGTGGGAGACGCGTGACCCCAGGCCTTTTTGTATTCTGTGCCCAGATCACCAGCTTTCAGGCCAAGAGCAAGATTGTGGGGGTTCCATGCAGAATATCAATGGCTGACCTTCGACCCAGGGAGTGGGGACTTCTGCCACTGCCCTCCTTTGTTAGCTTCTCAGACCCAGTCTTTACTGTCTCTAGTTAGAGACAGGTGTAGTGTCTAGACTGTGGCAGGTGGATGGAGAGGTGTCAGACTCCCCAGGGAGTTCCCTGAGAGGAGGGGGCACTTTCTTCCCTTGGAGGAGACTGGGCTGTGGGACATATAGAAATGGGAAGAGGAAGTGGGAGGAAGGGAGACTGACGGAAAGAGGGAGGTGGCTGCAGGAATGTGACCCAGAGAGCAGGCCCTGGCCTAGGGGATTTCCAGAGCGGTTCCTCCCTCCCCCGTCACTCTCTCCTGGGCCTCTCCTGCCGCCTGCCGCCAAGCCTGCCCCCCTCCTCCTGAGCAGCCCCCTCCCCAGCCCAGGCAGGCCTTTCAGCTAAGCTCCCCCCGTCACTAATGCCCCAAGGCAGCTGTCCCTGCGGCCTAGACCCTCCAGCTCGGGCTTTCGTTTTCCCCACCTGATGTGGGGAAACCCCAGGGCTGGAACTTCCCCTCTCAGCTGCCCCCCCTCCTAGGTTAAGGCTCTTTGTCCCCCACAAACGCACATTTTCTGCACTGCCCAGACCTCCCCTCGGAGGTGCACACAGGAGTGTGGGCCTCCGGTCAGGCCCCGCCCCTCTGTGCTTTCTGAGGAGTGGCCCTCCTGACTCCCTGTGAAGGGCACAGGACAGGGTGCCGCTGCACTGTCCCCTTGCTCCTCTCCCCAGAGCTCTGTCTTCTCTCCCTTGGACTGTGGAACATGGAGTGCTGGGGGAGGGGGTGACCCCACCTCTGCCCTCTCTGTTCTCTCTGTTGGGGTGGAGGGAGGTGGGGCGCTCGGCCCTGGAAACCACCTCTGTGCTACCCCGGCAGCTTTCAGTTTGGCTTTGAGCTGCAGCTGCCTGGCAGAGCCCTGGGGCCAGAGGGGAGCCGGGGTGTGGGTAGGCTGGACAGGAAGGCCCTGGCCCTGTCAGCACCCTGCCCACACTCCCACTCAGCCAAGGCCCTCCTGAAGGCCAGACATGGGAACTTGGAGCTTCTACTCCCAGGATCCTGGCTTCCCGCACCAACCCTTACTTCCTGGCCCAAACTCTCACTTCCTGCACCTGTCCTATGGGTAACTACTTAGAAGTTGCCGTGTTCATTCTCACCCCAGGACCCCAGCCCACTCTCTCTGGCCTGGGCCCTGACACTAAACCCTGTCCCTCCCCCTAGGCTGGTCCACCTGGCGGTGATTCATGAGGCCCCAGCTGTGCTGCTCTGTTGCCTAGCTTTGCTGCCCCAGGAGGTTCTGGACATTCAGAACAACCTTTACCAGGTGGGTTGAAAAGGTGGGCTGTGCCCAGATACCCATATCTGCCCTGGCAGCCATCCCCAGCAGCCACATGAGCATCCTTGGGCTGCTGACTCAGGAAACCATTTGCCAGACACTGGACTAGAAGCTGAGGATGCAAACATGAGTAAGATGCAGCCTTTGCCCACAAGATGCTCACAGCCTGGGCTAGGGGACTCATGTCAACACCTAATTACAGCTTGGTGACAAGAGTTGTGATGGAGACACATACCAGCTGCTATGGGATCCGATATCTGTGGAGAGCAGCCAGGGAAGGCTTAATACAGGAGGGGACATCTGAATGGAGCCTTAAAGAGGAGTGTGCCAGGTGGAGATGACCTGCTGCCTCTGTCTTTCCTCCCCCCAACCCCCCCTACAGCCTAGCCCCTGGGGCTAACAGAGGTCTCCCAAGAGGGCAAGAGGCCAGACCCTGCCCCCATCTGTCCTTTCTCCAGGGGCTATGAGAAGAGCAGGGGGACACTTCCCTCATCCTGTCTCCAGAGTTGGGGTCCCAAGAGCCTGGTGGAGAGTGACAGAGGGAAGGGCTTGGTCATGTTTCTTTGGAAGACCAGGGGCTTAGCCTTTATAAGCTGCCTTCAATGAAGGTGCTGGCAGCTGGCAATTCCTATGCCCACCCTAGCAGGTTCCCAGAGGTGGGAGCATGCTGCAGTGGCCGTGTGACCCTCTGTTTGTGCCTACAGACAGCACTCCATCTCGCTGTACATTTGGACCAGCCGGGTGCAGTTCGAGCCCTGGTGCTAAAGGGGGCCAGCCGGGTGTTGCAGGACCGGCACGGCGACACAGCCCTGCATGTGGCCTGCCAGCGCCAGCATCTGGCCTGTGCCCGCTGCCTGCTGGAGGGACGGCCAGAGCCAGGCAGAGGACCACCTCACTCCCTGGACCTCCAGCTGCAAAACTGGCAAGGTCTGGGCAACCTCAGGGCCTAAGGGGATGGGAGACAGAGACCCCACCCTCAGGGAAGACAGGGTAACAACTTTCCATTGACGCACCTCCAGTTCTAAGCACATGGCTACTCATTACATCTTGACTGAATGAATGAATGAATGAATTTGATTTAGTATTTACTGAGAACCTATTGTGTGCTAAAGAGAGAGCTAACCTTGCCCTCAAGATATTCAGTTTAATAGAGATTAGTTGAACTCATTAATTCATTTGACAAAAATGTACTGAGGGCCTTCTATGTGCCAGACGCTATTCTGGGAGCTGGGCTTGCATCTGTGAACAAAACAGAATGACTGAGACAGACAATAAATAGAAGAAATGAGTTCTCTCATGGGTAAGTGCTATGGGAAAGGCAGAGCAGAGCGAGAAGTGGAATGTGGTGATGGAGGCTGCTGTGATTTTTAAAATACGGTGCTCAGGTAAGCTCATGGAGCAGGGACATTGGAGCAAAGACTTGAAGGAGGTGAGGGATATTCATCTGAATCTAGTTCTCTAAGCAGGGGTGGGGGGCGTCCAGGCAGAAAGGAGATAGCAAAAAGGCTAGGGGAGCTCCAGGGAGGAAGTGGCCCCTGGGGAGGGGCTGGGGGCATGAGGATCCAGAGAGCTCTGAAGAAGGTGGCTTTTGGATAAGGATAGGGATGAAGGCAGGGAGAGTTTCACTGGGGGGAGAGAGAGTGGGTGTGTGTGTGTATGTGTGTCCGGGGAGGGGGTGTGTATAGGGGGCGTCACTCAGCAACCTGTCCCCTGAAGCGTGCAAGTTTCAATAACATGACTCTGAAAAGGTGGAAACTCTGAGTTCCTTTCCCCTAGACTTTTGAGGGGGTTTTTGGGTTGTGTTTTAACAGTCCTGTGATCAGAGGCATTGAGTGGGCAGTAAGTCCCTTGGGGCTGAGGGGTAGGGAGGTCCCTGATGAGAGGGAGAAAGATGGAGAGAGTTGGTGGCTGCAGATGAGCAGCCCTCACTCTTACCCCATCCCAGGTCTGGCCTGTCTCCACATCGCCACCCTCCAGAGGAACCGGCCACTCATGGAACTGCTGCTTCAGAACGGAGCTGACATTGACGCACAGGTGAGGTGGCCAATCAGGGTGCTGCCCGGCCTAGGGCCTGCCCCACCACTGAGTCCAGCCCTGGGGTCCCCTGTGCAGCAGTCAGAAGTGGTAGCACTCGCCTCCTTATCCAGGGCCTGAGCTCAGGGTGCTGCCTCTTGAGGACCTTGGCTGACATCCTTCTTCCCCTCCAGGAGGGCACAAGTGGGAAGACAGCACTGCACCTGGCTGTGGAGACCCAGGAACGGGGTCTGGTGCAGTTCCTGCTCCAAGCTGGTGCCCGAGTAGACGCCCGCATGCTCAATGGATGCACGCCCCTGCACCTCGCAGCAGGCCGGGGCCTCAGCAGCATCTCATCCACTCTGTGTGAGGCAGGTGCTGACTCCTTGCTGCGGAACGTGGAAGATGAGACACCCCAGGACCTGGCTGAGGATGTAAGAGGCATATACTCAGCTCTGCTCTCCAGGACCTCCCACACCCTCCCACACCCTCCTCCCACACCAAGGCGCTGTAAGAGCAGGAAGGACCAAGAAGTTAGGCTCCTGGGCTGTAATCTATGACTGCCACTCACCAACTGTGGGACCTTGGGCAAGCCTCTGCTCCTCTCTCAGCCTGTTTTCTTAGTTGGTCAGGACCAGGGTGCCCAAACTTGGACTCCTGGAGGAGTCTGAAGCTAAAATGGATCAGTGAAACTAGGTGTAAGACAGCGGGTGGTGGGGCCTGTGGGAGACTGGAGAGTCTATGCACAAGGGTCATTCTTCTGAGCTTCAGCAGGTGGTTACAGAGGAATGTGGACTGAGGATTTCCAGGCTTTCTAATTTTTTCTGAGAGATGAAACCTAGATTTTCTGTACAGTCTTTCCAATTTTTAGATGTTCAATGTAAAAAAATATTCAAAATGTTTTATGAGTATCCCCCCCCCCCCAAAAAAAAACAACCAGACCCATGGGCTGGATTACCTCCTAGGTCCTCCTTAGCTCCATGGAGCAAGGGCTTGCCTAAGGCCTCAGGCCTCTGCCTAGCCCAGAGGGGCCACTTTGGGAATTAGTAAGAAGATTTGTTCCCTGATGTCATTCAGCTGTCATTTGGTGGGGAAGAAATGGCCCAGTAGGTCTCCCCAGCTCCCTCCCCCACTGCTGCCTTTTCCTACGGGCCCTGATCTTGCTTCTCTCTATTGTCTTTCTCAGCCCCTTGCACTTTTGCCCTTCGATGACCTGAAGATCTCAGGGAAGCCACTGCTGTGTGCCGACTGAAGCCAGGGCAGGGTCTGGGGCCCTGGGGGCTCCACCTCTTCCCATCTGGAAGCTGGAGCCACAGCTGCTGCAATTTGGGCCCAGGCAGTGTGCCCTTCTGGTGTCCTGGGGACTGCTGAAGCCAGAGCCTGGGGCCAGCACAGTCCTGAGCTGAGAGGAGGGGTCGAAAATGAGAGAGCCCGTCTGGAAGGAAGAGTTTCCCAGGTGGACAGAGATTCTGAGAAGACTCCCAAAGCCCCCAGTATCCTGGGCGGAGCCTGTTTGCTTCTCCTGAAGATGGCAGAGGCTCTTGTCTCTACCCATGTTGGGTCAGCCTGAAGCTGCCAACCGGAAGGAGAACATGGACCCTCCTGAGTGAGGAGAGAAACTGAAATATGAGCAAGCAGGGTCCTGAGGGGTTCCACCTCACTGCTGCTGAGGACTCTTAAACAGTGTTGTTTAAAGACTTCACACAGACGGCCCCGAACTGAGCATTTGGGGAAGGGGAAGTTTCAATAACATGACACTAAAACAGCAGAGACTTTTTGAAAAGTTTTCCCCCCTAGAGCTGTTTTGTGCGCGTGCATGTCTGTGTGCATTGGGGACTTTTAGACAGGCCTGCCCTGTGACCTTGTGGTGGAGGCTGAGAGAAGGAAATTGTCCCTTGAGCAGGGTAGGGCCTTGCTGGATGGGGCAGGGGGCTAACAGGCCTCAGGCCCTTGCCCTTTCTGTGGAGACACAGAGGGATGGAGGAAGAGAAAGAGAAATGAGAAGACACAGGCAGGAGGCCTCACCACAGCCCTGGAGGTTGCTATTTGGAGGACCTGGAGAGAAGGGCTAGCCTATGGAGGGTGACACGGGAGCTGTGGCTTTTGATGTTCTTTCTCTCATTCCACCTACGTTTGAGGGCCCTGTTTGGTCAGGCCTATGCTGGGATGAAGAATATGGGGAATAAACCAACACAGTCTTTGGCCACATGGAGCTTATAGTCTAGTGAGTGAGACAGCCATTAAATTCACAAACATCCAAATAAATATGTAATTACATGTTGCAATGGATGCTGTGAAGGAAAGGAATAGTGGGAAGGAGAACAGTGGAGTGGGTGGGTGGAGGGCCGTACCTTGGGTGGTCAGGGGAGGCCTCTGATGAGTGTCACCTCAACTCAGACATAAGGATGAGTAAGGGGTGAGGGGAGAGCAGTGGGGGAAAGCCTTTGGTGGATTAGAGAAACTGAGAGCTGGCCAGTGGGCTCTACGGGGGGTGGTGAGTGGGCGAGGTAGACTGGGACCAGGTCATGTAGAGCCTCGAAGGTCACAGGGAGTTGTGGGGACAGAACTGCCAGCCCAGCCGAAAAAAGAAGGAGACATCCGAAAACGGGAAAACAGTAACCTAAGGGGAAGTGCTTGGGACGCAGAACTTCAGTGTCCTCGTCCCTAAGACGACAGTGGTCACCACTACCTCCCAGGCGGGCTGTGAGGGCTAAGGGCGATGACGAAGCAGGGGGAGGCCCGGGGCTGGGGGCTCCCGGCCCCTCAGGGGCAGCCCAGCTCCCGGAAACCGAGGCCCCTCTCCCTCCGGGCCAGGCGGGGGCGCTGTGGCCGGGCGGCGGCCCGGGGCGCTGCGTGGTCGCGGCTGAGGGCGGAGGGGCTGGCGCGGGAGGGAGGCGGGAAGAGCGCGGCACTTCCGCCAGCCGCTCGCTCTCCGGCCGCTCCTGGAGGCGGCAGCGGGAGCGGAGGGCGCGCGAGGCCCGGGGACCCGCATCCCCCGGCCCCCTCCGCCCCACGCGGCCCGGACCATGGACGCCAGGTGGGGGTCTGGGGGAGCGGCGTGCCCACGTGACCGAGCCCCCGGGCCACGTGACTGCCTCTCCTCGGCTCTGGGGGCCGGGTGGGGGCCCGCTGCCAGGCGGCAGGCCGGCGCGGCGCTGCCTCGAGCCGGCGGGCTGGGGGCGCGGCGTGGGCTTGTGCCCCTCAGCGTGGGTGGGGGTTGGGGGGTGAGGGGCGGAGGAGTGGGGAACGCTGGCGCCCCAGGAACCTGGAGGGTGGCTTGTGGGGGGGGTGGGGGGGTGCCGCCTCTGGCCGGAGCAGCCGGCGAGCTGGAGGGAACAGAGGGAACCTGTGTGGCCGGAGGGGTGGGGCCGCCCCCGGAGAGGGAGGGAGCCCTGCCTGGCCCGCGCCGGCCCCCCAGGAGAGAGAGAGGCTCTTTGTCCGGGCTGGGCTGCAGCTGAGGGGGGCGGGGAGGAGACTCGGGCCTTTCTCCAGTGTGGTCCCCTCGGAGGGCCGAGTGGATGAGGACCTGCACCCTAATCCTTATGTCCGCCGTCCCCGCAGGTGGTGGGCAGTGGTGCTGCTGGCTGCGCTCCCCTCACTGGGGGCAGGTGGGGAGACCGCCGAAGCCCCTCCGGAGTCATGGACCCAGCTGTGGTTCTTCCGCTTTTTGGTGAATGCTGCTGGCTATGCCAGCTTTATGGTACCTGGCTACCTGCTGGTGCAGTACTTCAGGCGGAAGAACTACCTGGAGACAGGTGTGTGGCGAAAGGGTGGGGAAGTGTACTAGGATTCTTTTGTAGTGCTGACCAAACGTCTAAACGGGAAGTGGCTTGGAAAGGGAGGCAGGCCAGCAGGCCCGCCAGCCGAGCAGGCTGGCTGCTCTGGGGAAGATGAGGCGCTAGGGAGAAGACTGGGCCTTGACGTTGTGTGCCTTCTTCAGGCAGGGGTCTTTGCTTCCCTCTGGTGAAGACTTGCGTGTTTGGCAGTGAGCCCAAGGTCTCCGACGAGGTTCCTCTGGCTCCGCGGACAGAGCCGGCAGAGACCACCGCCACTTGGCAGGCCCTGAAGCTGCTCTTCTGTGCCGCTGGGCTTCAGGTGGGTAGGCAGGCGCTGCTTCTCCTCCTGGGTTGGGTCCCGGTGGGCTGGGACTCTGTAGTACCAAAGTTTTCACCCTCCCAGTCCCAACAGTTTGCTGGTTGGTATGTTATGCGTCCCCTCCTGCCAAGGGCACACTGTACTGCCATCTTCTTAGAGGTGGTTGGAGGAAACACTGTCTTTTCTTTCCTCTTACCCTCTCTTCTGTGATTTCTACTATGCTATTATTACACTTCCCCCTGCAATGATGTGTCTCATACTGTAAACCCACTGATAAAAGTTGGAGGAAGCCACTCATGTGAGAGGGGTACTAAGATTCTGGCCTTGTGGCATTCTGGAGTTGGCACTCCTAGTTCCACCTCGTATACTGTGTTGAACTAACAGGTGTCCAAATTTGTCTAAGACTGCTTGCTTCCCAGAATTACTTGAGAATAGATAGGAAAATACTGGGGATGGAGTCAGTTCTAACATGCCCTACTGTGGGGACAGACGGGGTCTGGGTGGTCCTAAAGTATTTCTCATTATAAATGTTTCACACACGACTTGATTCCCGTGAATCAGGCTTGGAGAAGACAGGAAACTTCTGGTTATTACAGAGGAACCAAAATATGTACTGTCCTTTCAGTTATTTCGACATCATCTGGAGGAAGAATGTTGAGATACCCCTTTTTGCCCACTTTTTCCTTCTCATGTCCTCCTGTGTCTCTTCCCTTCCCCACCAGGCATCTTATCTGACTTGGGGAGTGCTGCAGGAAAGAGTGATGACCCGCAGCTATGGGGCCACAGCCACCTCGCCAGGTGAGCGCTTCACAGACTCACAGTTCCTGGTGCTAATGAACCGAGTGCTGGCGCTGATCGTGGCTGGCCTCTCCTGCATCCTCTGCAAGCAGCCCCGGCATGGGGCACCCATGTACCGGTACTCTTTTGCCAGTTTGTCAAATGTGCTTAGCAGCTGGTGCCAGTATGAAGCTCTCAAGTTCGTCAGCTTCCCCACCCAGGTGCTGGCCAAGGCCTCTAAGGTGATCCCTGTTATGCTGATGGGAAAGTTGGTGTCTCGACGCAGCTATGAACACTGGGAATACCTGACAGCCGGCCTCATCTCCATTGGGGTCAGCATGTTTCTGCTGTCCAGTGGACCAGAGCCCCGCAGCTCCCCAGCCACCACGCTCTCAGGCCTCATCCTGTTGGCAGGCTACATTGCCTTTGACAGCTTCACCTCAAACTGGCAGGATGCCTTGTTTGCCTATAAGATGTCATCAGTGCAGATGATGTTTGGGGTCAACTTCTTCTCCTGCCTTTTCACAGTGGGCTCCCTGCTAGAGCAGGGGGCCCTCCTGGAGGCAACTCGCTTCATGGGGCGGCACAGTGAATTCGCTGCACATGCCCTGCTGCTCTCAATTTGCTCAGCGTGTGGCCAGCTCTTCATCTTCTACACTATTGGACAGTTCGGGGCTGCTGTCTTCACCATCATCATGACCCTCCGCCAGGCCTTTGCCATCCTACTCTCCTGTCTCCTCTATGGCCACACTGTCACTGTGGTGGGGGGACTGGGGGTGGCTGTCGTCTTTGCTGCCCTCCTACTCCGAGTCTATGCCCGGGGCCGCCTAAAGCAGCGGGGAAAGAAAGCTGTGCCTGTGGAGTCCCCAGTGCAGAAGGTTTGAGAGATCTGAAGGGTGGAGCGACGTAGGACCCTCTCACCATACCAGTTTTCCTCTCCTACTGCTCAAGGGCAGAGAGCAGGTTTTTTCTCACTATCACAAGGCTTGTTCTGTAGTTGGAGGTGGGGAGCCCAGAGACAACCTTCCCCTTTCGCCTGAAGTTACCCATCTCTGGTAGGCACGATTCTAGTGTAGGGGGCTGTCGAGGCCGCCAACACCTCACCTGTCTGTCCCCTACCGTGAATGAAATCGCCACCCTTTGACTCCCTGAGACCTGCATTTCTTACTCTGGTGAGAAAAGCACAATTGTAGGCTCCAGATGCTTTCCCAGGAGAGTTGAATGGAAGATGGTGCTGTCTGGGGGAGCCGAGGGGAGAGCCCTGCCCAATGGCACCAACCCCTATACTCCTGGATCCCCAGGCTCTGCTCCAAGAGTCAGTTGGAGGTTTTGGTACTTCAGAAATGTAACTTTTTCCTCATAATTTTATTTTATTAAATTAAATTGCTGCAACGGGTTTGGGTCCTGTTTTGGTTGACTTAACTACATGCTTTCGGAAAGGACTGATAAAAGGGTGTTAATGGTAGTTGTTTGAAGCTATCCTTTCGAGTCAGTGTGGTGTGACTTCTAAACTGGTTAGCCGGGACTTTAGCCTTTGATACTCTATTGTGTACCATATAACCTGTACACAGGCAGTAACACTTGGGATAGAAAGGCTAAAAGCAGCATTATATCCACTTTACAAGGGAGAGCAGAACTGTATAAAACTGCATCTTATTTATTTTGCATACTTTAATTCCAGAACAAAATAAACAAAACCCACAATACACAACATCCAAACCTGATGTCAAATGTGGGAAGGGATAATAATAGGCCCTTGTATCCTGCCTTAGACAGAAAGACAGGAGGAAAAAACCACTAGACATCAGCAGAAGGAACCAGGTGGGCCAGGACCACTCAGGGCCGCTGGGGGAGCCATGGGGACACTATACAGAGGACACTGGTCTGCAAGTAGAAATGCCTAATCTACTTCTTCCATGCGAGAGGCATCCTCATCACCCTCCAGTGGGGGGATCTCATCAGGAACAGCAGCACTGGGTTCCTCTGCTGCCACTTCATCTTCATCAATGCCTAAGTGGAAAAGAAGGCCAAGAAATTTGACCCAAACAGCACTGAGTCACTTCTGCCACACCAGACCAGTTCACCAACCCTTGCCACACTCAGGTAAACAGAGGTACTCACCTAGGCCTAGCTTGATCATGCGGTAGATACGGTTGGAGTGGGTCTGGGGATCCTCAAGTGAGAAGCCAGAAGAGAGCAGTGCAGTTTCAAACAGCAGCACCACCAAGTCCTTGACGGCCTTGTCATTCTTGTCTGCCTCTGCCTTCTGTCGCAGCGTCTCCACAATGGGGTGGTCAGGGTTGATCTCCAGGTGCTTCTTGGCCATCATGTAGCCCATTGTGGAGTTGTCCCGAAGTGCCTGGGCTTTCATGATCCGCTCCATGTTGGCTGTCCAGCCATAAGTGCTGGTCACAATGCAGCAGGGTGAAGACACGAGCCTGTTGGAGATTGTCACCTGGGGATAGTCACAAATCCTTAGGTTCGTATTAAATCAGATTAACACTTCAAGGCAAAAAGGGTGATATCTTATGTTCTACTCAGAAGCAACGCCTTATCTTTACCAAATTCTATACAAAGAGCAACCTTAAACCTGCCTGGTTAAGACAGCAAGAAAAAGCAGGCTCTAAAGAAATCAGGCTGTCGAAAAGCACCAATTGTGTAGTAACACAAGACTCTTGAAAGCAACAGCCTGGAAGGGATTTATTATAAAATAAATCCTAGTCCCAGGATTGCTTACCTTCTCAACCTTCTTATCCAAGATTTCTTTCATGAGTTTGCAGAGGTTCTCAAACTTGGCCTTGCTCTCCTCCATTTTCTTCTTCTCCTCCTCATCCTCAGGTAGCTCCAGGCCCTCCTTGGTAACTGAGACCAGGCTCTTCCCATCAAACTCCTTGAGCTGCTGCACGCAGTATTCATCAATAGGCTCTGTCATGTACACCACCTCGAAGCCCCGCTTCCGCACTCGCTCCACAAAAGCAGAATTGGCAACCTGCTCTTTGCTCTCACCTGTAGGATCAATGAATGTGACTCAAGGACCAGAACCCTCGGCCCCCAGTTCCCAGGTATGCATGAATGTCCCCCCCCTCCTCCCTACACCTGAGCAGCTTTTTCTCAGACCCAGGCTCCAACGCACCAGTGATGTAATAAATGGACTTCTGGGTCTCCTTCATGCGAGAGACATATTCTGAAAGAGAAGTCATCTCATCTCCAGACTGGGAGGTGTGATAGCGCAGCAGCTCAGAAAGGCGTCGCCGATTAGTGGAGTCCTCGTGGATTCCAAGCTTTAAGGGCAGAAAGAAAAAAAACAATGTTACTTGGAAACAATATCTTATCCTCTATGAATGGGCAAAAAGTCCATCGTAATTAAGAAAGTAAGGATTTGCTGCCTCCTTACCTTTAGGTTTTTAGAGAATGCCTCATAGAATTTCTTGTAGTTCTCCTTGTCTTCCGCCAGCTCAGAGAAGAGCTCAAGGCACTTCTTAACAATATTTTTGCGAATGACCTTCAAGATTTTGCTCTGCTGAAGCATTTCTCGGGAGATGTTCAGGGGCAGGTCCTCAGAGTCAACCACACCACGAATGAAGTCTACAATCAACCAGGGAAGAAGCTCAGTTAAAAAAAAGGTAGACAGGGTCATCAAGATTCAACAGGACCCATTTTCTCACTGAACCTCACTTGCTATGTATGTCGCAGAGGATCCTTTATCAAAGATAAAGACTTCAGCCCCCTTGAGAATGTTGAAAGCCACACAGGACATTATGTAATTACATCAGAGCAAGAACATACTCACTGAGATACTCTGGTATCAACTCATCACAGCTGTCCATGATGAACACACGGCGGACGTAGAGTTTGATGTTGTTCTTCTTCTTCTTGTTCTCGAAGAGGTCAAAAGGAGCCCGACGGGGAATGAACAGCAATGCCCTGAATTCCAACTGACCTTCTACAGAGAAGTGCTGAAAAAAATTCAAGATAAGAGTGGTTTTTGGTCCCAACACCAAATTATCAAGCTGTTTGGAACAAAGATCTGCCCTAAACACTAAAGATAGAGACTATAGGGCAGCTGTTAAGAAAACCAAGCCCTAATTCCCTAAATGAATCTAGAAAGGTACAAGCTGTGTATAATCCCTGGGTCAATGAATAAAGTCAAATCGGAACCCTGGCTGTGTAAGTCTGCCATCAAGACAAAACGGGAAGGATATCATTTCTCCATGTGTGAAAGGTCATCACATCAGTAAGTAAACTTATGTGGCTCCATGGCTGTCTCAGTTCCCAGCTACCAACCAGTTGGATAAGTTCCATTTGTCTATTACTAGCAACACCCTTCTACTTGCTCCTCCTATTGAGCCAATATTCTCACCTTGACTGCCAAGTGGTCTTCCCAGTCATTGGTAAGACTCTTGTAGAACTCTCCATATTCCTCCTGGGTGATGTCATCAGGGTTTCTGGTCCAAATGGGCTTAGTCTTGTTCAGTTCTTCCTGATCAATGTATTTCTCCTTAATCTTCTTTGTTTTCTTTTTCTTATCCTTACCACTATCATCCTCCTCATCTGAGCCCACATCTTCAATTTTGGGCTTCTCCTCATCATCTTTATCTTCCTCCTCTTTCTCACCTTTCTCTTCCTCTGCCTCATCATCACTGATTTCTTTCTCTCGTTCCTTTTCCAACTGAAAGTACCAAAGACAATGGTTAGTTTCAAAGCACAGAATACCAATGAAAACAAAAAAATCAGGGACCGTGCAATTTTCCAGAGCAGCAGACATCATCCATGTGAGGGCTCCAGTCCACACTCACATAAAGGGTGATGGGATAGCCTATGAACTGTGAGTGCTTCTTCACCACTTCTTTGACCCGCCTCTCTTCTAAGTACTCTGTCTGGTCTTCTTTAAGGTGGAGGATCACTTTGGTACCCCGGCCAATGGGCTCACCTATAAAGAGTCAATCACAATCGAGTATAAGATGAAACTAAATGCACAACTATATCAAAAAATAACTGTTTTACAGATAGGACACTCAAAACTTCCATTATAGGTTTCCCCAGAATTCTAACCTGTTAAGGCATCTTAACAGGAAAGCATACTTACCGTGGTCAGCACGTACAGTAAAGGAACCCCCAGCAGAAGACTCCCAGGCATACTGCTCATCATCATTGTGCTTTGTGATCACAACCACCTTCTCTGCCACCAGGTAGGCAGAATAAAAGCCAACACCAAATTGTCCAATCATGGAGATGTCAGCACCAGCCTGCCAAAATTAAAAAGTCAAACCCAAGTTTTGAAGAAACAGCATGCCAAAAATCACTGATGATTATAAATGGTGTGTGCCTAGCTGAAACAACAAATACCTGAAGAGCCTCCATAAATGCTTTAGTACCAGACTTGGCAATAGTTCCCAAATTATTTATGAGATCAGCTTTGGTCATGCCAATGCCTGTGTCCACCAGCGTCAGGGTGCGTTCCTGGGGGTTGGGGATGATGTCAATTTTCAGCTCTTTACCACTGTCCAACTTGGAAGGGTCTGTCAGGCTCTCATAGCGAATCTTGTCCAAGGCCTGAAAACACAAATTGCAACCTTACAATTCTGCTTTCTTAAAGCCCATCTCTTTCTCCAAAAGAAAACATTTTCCATTTCTACTCAAGCAGCCTCGATTCCAATTACCCCTTAAGACTTAAGAACCACAGTTATCGTTACAATATCTTATCTGTCAACACAGAACAAGGCAAAGTTTTTTGTAACTTAGAGCAGGTTTATCCCCTTCAATAGTAAGCCTTACAAAATGCCAAACCACCCCCTCCCCTTTTTCTAGACTCCTAAATTAAAAAACCATGAAGATGTCAGTACTCACATCAGAAGCATTACTGATCAACTCGCGAAGGAAAATTTCCTTGTTGGAATAAAAGGTATTGATGATGAGAGACATGAGTTGGGCAATTTCCGCCTGAAAGGCAAAAGTCTCCACCTCCTCCTCTCCATGGTGCACTTCCTCAGGCATCTAAATGAGAGCAGTCAAGAATTACAAAGGAACACCATGACCTCAAATTTAGGACTCCTAAAGTTCAACCCAGTCACAACGAAAACATGAAGGGCTTTAGTTCAAACTGCGGTGAGCTGAACAGTATCCATTCTCAAGAGACTGAAGACCCTTTTCTTCAGATTTAAGGCTGCAACCTTAAGAGGGTTTCTGCACCCTCAGAAACCAACTGGGAGAAAACAAAAGCTAACACATTCAACAAGATATGAGATCAGGTTTTCTGAGAAGGTATCTTGGAGCCAAACTACTGTTAAGTGTACCATGGACCAGGAACCTGAGCATCACCTAGGAGCTTGTCAGAAATGGAAGAGAATGACAACTAGGTATCTCCAACGTGAATAAAAATCCCCGGTAACCCACTCG